GGGTATATTATCTCTTTTAAGAGTTGTTCAGCACAAAATTACCTTTCCGACCATGTTGCGAAAATATATGTAACAAAAACACTGTTCTACTGTGTAATGAATTGTATCGTACAAATTAATCTCAACTAACACTCATTCAAATTCCCTCAGAATGTATTACAATTTTTTTAGTAAGCTCCCAAAAAACAAGAGATATTCCAGCAACGGACTGTTGGACACCTGTGTAAACAGTGTCATGAACTTTTTGCATCACCACATCTTTCAAATACGCTATGTAAACTATATTTAATAAAAACTATGTAAGTTTGCTTCTCCGATTTTTTTTCTTGAATTTACGATAAGTTATAATTTGTGGCAGATAATTGACATCAATTTTAACAATTCAAGATTTATCTTTTTTTATTACTATTAACTGTTTAATTTAATATTTTCCGACAGAAAAAAGATTCCCATCAATAAAAAATAGGATTACTTATTAATTACATTTTAGAGGTATAATTTTCTTTTTCTTTAATTATTATATACCGGGTGTCTGGAAAATGGCGGATTAACTCTTCAGTACATTATGTACGGGGGTTTCGGGAGTCCCAAAAAAATAATAAAACAATTCTTTATTATGTAGATTACGAAAAAAACGTAATTTTATCAAAGTAAAATTGGCAACACTGCACGAACTTAATGTGTGAATACCTCCGGTTTACTCTCTGATTTCTTAGCAACGATGGTGACTGAAATCCACGTTGTGCATTATTATTAATAAAATAAGCTGTTATTTTTCATCAATAAATAAACCCAAGAAAACATTTAATAAGACATTTATAAATTATAAACAAAAACAAAACCAACAAAAGAAAAATCCATTATTTAAAACAAAACTAACTACTAACTAAACACTAGAGAATATGTTCAAAATTCCTGCCTTCTGCACATCAGTAAGCTTGTAATGTTTCCAAATTTTGATCATTTTTTGTTAAAGTCATCACTACTTGCTAAGATAAAACTGATTTGGCAAATGAGATACCCTCTAAGACAAGAGAGGGTGGGTGGGCGGGGCTAGTAGATGTTAAGATAAGACTGATTTTGGCAAATGAAAGGGTGGGTGGGCAAAATCAGTCTTAACTTGGCAAGTATTAGCCCCGCCCACCCACCCATTATTTTCTTCGAGGGAATGCCATTTGGCAATATCAGTTTTATCTTAGCAAGTACTAACCCCACCCACCCGCTCTTTATTTTCTTAGAGAGTAGGTCATTTGCCAAAATCAGTTTTATGTTGGAAAGTACTAGCTCCGCCCAACCGCCCTTTATTTTCTTAAAGGGCTTGTACATACCTGCTCAGATAAGACTGATTTTGGCAAATGAGATATCCTCCAAGAAATTTAATTAAATTATTATAAGAGAAGACACTACAGGCTCCAAAGCACTTTCAAATTCTTTCCAAGCAATACCTAGAACCTGGACATTGTTTTAAATTTTTCAAAAAAAAACCAGGTCCCAAAATTAACTCAAAAACAGGCCAGGTCAGAATTTTACAAAAATAGAACACCAAAGTCCCCCTAAATTGTTTTAAATAATTTACAAAAAAAATCTCCATGGGCTCCCAAAATAATACACCATGGGTACAGTTTTATTCAAAAAATATTGGGCAGTTGTGATTTACTAATGTCATAACTTGTAAACTGTGCTTTATTTAGACCTAATTTACTGACATATCTGTCGGATATTAATAGTATTAAAGGCATCGTTTGACAAAATAGATTTTTGAAAAGTGCTAATATTTGTCAAGATGACAGTAAAGCTTGAATCGCATATGATTTGTCATAAATGACAGTGCCTAATATTTTTTGAATGAAATACATAATACCCACGAGTCTCCAGATTAAAAAAAAAACACTGCGGCACTCAAGACTTTTTCAAATTCTTAAAAAATAAAACACGAAAATCTCGAAAGATTTTTTCAAGTTCATCCAGCAACAAAACACCAGATTCCTTTAAATTTATCCGAAAATAAGACACCAGGGGACCTAAAATTAACTGCGAATATTTTAAACGTAAGGTTTTGAAAACTTTGACAGTTTTTGATACGTCAAGCGTTTTTAACTGCTACTTGATTTTGCTGATTTGCACCTTCGCTTTATATCAGGCAGACATTGTTGTCAAAGGGAATTTTATCAAATTATTATTAGAAAAACAACACAACCATATCTTTGTACAGTCTAATTGAAATGGTAATTAAACATGGTCATGGGCGAAAAAAATATTAAAACAGCAAAAGAACCAATTTTAAAATTATTGTAACTCCACCAAAATGTGAGAAGCTTTTTTTTTACTATTTTTCCCAGACTCACTAGTTGATTGTTAAGAGCGTAGCGAAGAATTAATCCGCTATTTTCCAGACACCCGGTATATTTAATAATTTGTTGAGGTGCTGTAATCAATTTTTTGGTCGAGACGAAAAAATAAAAGTGGTTTAATATTCTGTAATCAATAATCACATTCACTACAATAACGTTAGTCTTGCCAAAAAAGCCCAATTTCCTAAATAAATTATAAAATTCTGCACTTTTTTATGATAACCCTGCGATGTGTTAAAATAAAAATTGCTTAGCTGGAACAAAACGGGCACAAGTTTGACACAAGATTGAATTTACTACCTAATTATAATCTAAGACTATAACAGAAATAAAAACAGAGCAATGCAATTCTTTGACTGCTCTATTATTTAGTCTTAATTAACCATAGGTTTACAACAAGTTATATCAATATTTAATATGAATTAACAGCAGTTCTAACAGATTTTCTTCAAAATTTGTCTTTACTATTATAATGTCCTGATTTAAAATAATAAATAAATTTCGCGTTAAAAGAAAACAATGCCGCAAGGCCGGATTTGAAAAATTAAAATTAAGAAAAATTACTCAATAACGTAGGCAACCATGTAGCAAAATTTAAACCTTCGATTTGGGTAGCCGATCATTTTATTTTAATTACGACGGTTAAATTTTTCATTGATTTTACTGAAATTATGTAACAGCTCTTGTAGTAGAAAATAACGCTGAAAATTAAAGAGAGCTCGATCACCTTGATCAGAGCCGTCGATCCTGTCACTGTGATTACTTTCACGACAATTTTTTTTTCTTTGTGTGTTTAAATTTGTATTGGAAATTTTGCATTTTGATTTAAAGGCATTGTTCCAATCTTGGAATTCACACGTCTAATTTTGGGTTATTATGAATAGAAATAACAGTGAATTAGTGAATAAATTCGACACAAGACAAAACTTTTTTAAGCGCAAAACACATTGTTTTTTTTTATACTAATAAATTAAAATTTTCAAGTTGATTTTATAATTTCTATGAAACCGCAGAATTTTTAAATAAATAATAATGAGAGCTTTTGTAAATGGGACTCAAAAGTTAACGTTAAAATAAATTGCTCTATGAGCAATTATGATAGCTTATATAGATTATTTTTTCTGCTCTGAAACACAGAAAAAAATCACGTAAAATTTTAAAACAGAAAGCTATAAACAAAGCATAAAACCACAATAATAAATAAACAAAATCCATGGCAACACCATGACAATCCCTCTTGTGATTCGCTAGAAATATGGGTTCTATTATTATTAATCGAAAAACTGTAATACTAAAAATAGGAGTAAAAGAACACATTTATTAACTAAAAAAATAAAAATCTGCTATCTATTACAATACATTGTATGATAAAAGGAAGGTATTTCTCATTTATTTTCATACTTTGTTGACATTGTTTCTATAATTTCATCATTGCGATAACGCAGGAAAACTTTGATTTATAAATTTACTCAAAAGAAAAATATGCTATTGCGTCGATTTTACTGAGGACAACGCATTAAAAGATACATAGGTAGTTTCGTTTAAAAAAATAATAATAAAATGATAGTAGCTTGCAAATGAAGGACATATTTAAAACATTACGAAAATACTGTTGGGGACTCCTGCATACCAAATATAATGTTGGATCGAAAAAAAAATGTTCTCTAGTAGGCCGGAAAATAGTCAAATAACACTAGTTTGACATTTCATGAATACTAAACATGACCTTTAACTTGACATAAAACTGCAGTTTAAGTTTGTTGGGTTAGTAAATGTATAAAAAATGTGGTTTGTGGCTAAAACAAAAGTTGAATACAAAATATAAAAAAAGAACAGTGACAGTGTAAACAAAACTAAAGTTATCAACAGTGTCAACAAGCCAATGAAACATTAAAAAAGGCGCTACCTATTTGACCCCACTTTCATTCTTGCATATTATTGACAAAGTTAGTAGGTTATTAATCTACTTAAAAAAATATTTTCCTGATAAGACTTCAACATGTTTAAAATACCAACACAGCTGATAAAAATCAGCTCCATGTCATTATTTATACAAAACTTCCTTAAAATTAACATATTCCAAGACTTACCTTAACGACAGCGACGGTGTTAAACCTAGATCCCCTTCGGTCCCACCTTTCCGAATTTTCAAACCTTCGTAATCTTATATCACTTTCATCAAACTCCGCAATGCACTTTGAAAATCTCGCCTCATCAAAAGACACCGATTTTCTTTTTTTTAGTTTTAACTGTGTCTGGGCACTTCTCGGCGACAAAAGCACTTGTTCCCGGTTCTTCTTTTGCTCTTCTTCCTCTCTTTTCCATTTTTGTTTGTTAAATAATTCACTTTTTTCGAGTTCAATGTGAATAGGAATGTACTCCATAGAAACCGACTTTTCCTTGCTTAGGTTCTTCTTTCTTCGCGGACCAGATCTGAAGGACACATTCGACTTTAACTCCTCTGTGCTGGTGGATTTTTTTATCGAGAAACTTTTCACGCGACGAACGAGAGACATTTTTGCTTTGCTTGATAGTTCGATAATATTTTCTCGTATCGTACTGTCACAAGATAAGAAAATTAGTGGGTTCTTATCAGCGATGAGTGGATGTAGTTATTTTAAAAACTCCCGCGTTACAGGGAAATGACAGTTGTGTATGTAATAAATTAGTTTATTATCTGTTTTTATGTGAGTCGATAAGTTTTCAATGAATCCTGACTTTGATAAAACATGGCATATATTAACATAATCACCACAAAAAATAACAAAATGTAACTAGACCACAGCAAGTGAATGTAAATGACATTTTTATCGCTCTGGAATGAAGATAATTAATTTTGTAATGTTGTCGAACTTAAAACTGACCTGGCTTAAGTATGTTTCTACGTTGTCGACCTCGAATGACAAATTTATTTGGGTTTCGTTATCACTATCGGGGCAAAATTCTGATTGGGAATAAAAAGTTATTGTATTTTCGTCGTCGATCTGCTTAAATCGAGAAATTATTATTTTTGTATTTGTATTTTTTTAACAAACCTCTTCATTGAAATCGCATGAGTTTTTAGAATCCTGGGGCAGAAAATGTTTTGGGCCCGTAATTAACGCACACACGCTTGTTCCATTTTCATTTTCGGTGAAATTTTGGGTAAGGCCGAAATTTATGCCCAAGAAGGGTGAATTTTCGTCATTGCCACCACACAAGGGTTTCCAGTCTTATAAAAAAAAACAAATGTAGAAAAAAAGTACATGTACATAAAATAAAATAATGTTTTTATTCTTACCTTCTAAATAGTAGTAGATTTCCACTTTAGTGACATTAATAAATTCATTCACGTTTTTCAAACTCACTAGAGTTGCAAAACTACCTTCTTCATTTGAGTTTTCGTTTAACACGTTGCCATCACTGGTGATCACGCACAAATTCAACTTATTCAAATGTCGACTCAAAGAAATCCAATTCTAAACATAAAAAGTGAAAGCGTAGCAGTCACACATGCATTGACTTACCTGTTTATCGTCATTGTTGATGATGTTTTCAGTATATTTAATGTATATTGTGAAAGAAACTGTTACTAATGTTACGATAACTAAACACAAGAAAAAAATTACTACTGGAGGATTGTATTTGAAAAAGTGGTTGCAGTTTTTGGCTAAAACTGCCATGGTTGATTTACACTTGTACATTATCGTCTCGATAAAGGGATTTTGTTTATGAGATAATATAGATTACAAAAAGTTAAAGAAGCGTTAGACTTGTCATTATACAGTGCGTACACTTTCGATTTTCACGAGTCATAAATATAATGTCCGTGGAAGTGTTAATTTGATAAGAAAACTTTTTCAGTGGGTTTACCATGACCTGACCTTCGTGGAATGTGTGTTTTTTAATAAATTCTAAAAAAGATAATCAGTGTGACGTCACTTTGTACTAACTTGGTCAAGTATTTGACAATTTGCCGCCAAAAAGTCAATAACTGTTGTCGGAACGGAACTGAATATCACAGCACACTGCAAATGGTATAGGGGTATCTTTGTTTTTTAATTTCCTGAAGAAATTTGGTAACTTTTTGTGTTTTCACGATGGGAATTATGGACATTGAAAATTATCATCAGTTAAATTAATATCATCGTAGACCCGGAAACGGGAGAGCTTTAATATTTTCTTACAGGTTTAATGACTTCTCACAGCTTGAATTTGAACATTTATTCTTTTGATTTTGGTCGTATTGAATATGTACTTGTTGTATTTTGATGTAATCATTAACTTGAATTAATGAGTAATTTGATACCATGTACATTTTTTCTTGTTTGAAATGCGTGAAAGAATGTGACACAATTATTAAATTTGGCTTGTTTTCTTCCTTGTAATTAAATACTCATTTTACTCTTATCAAAATTCAGGAGATTTTTAACTGAAATAAACGCACGTGATAGCATGACAAGAACCAAAGTGACGGTCTGTATCCAAATATAGAATAGCTATCTAGTTGGCTGGCTCCTTTACGACGATGGAAGTAAATATTAGGAATGCGCATGCTTAAACGCACATCGCGTGCTTTAGCTGCCATTAGACGCCCTTCGTGCCGCTACCTCTATAGGCCACCATATTGCCTATTTTATTTTTCACTCAACTTTGTTTTTCTGTTGTGGTGTCCAAGTTTGAAACAAAACTTCGCGCTGAAAAAAAAAACAGCGGCGCGAAATCGCATTTGGATAATTTGAATTTGAAAAATGAATTAAAAAAAAAATCATTAAACATAGGCACCCATGTGCAATTTTAATTTCTTGAGTAGTTTGGTAGCTCGTCTAGGGAATTTGTGGTAGTAATCTGGTATGGGGGGATTGGTTAAAGCAGGTTTGTCGTTGTTATTTTATTGTACGCAATCTCTCGAAATTATACATTTTATTTTAAGCAACTTTACTCAGGTGAAATAAGTAATTTTTTATATTGTGAAAAATATTACGTATTTAAATTGGCAGTATTCATGATTTAATTTTAAGCACTGATTCTCTTAAAAAATTAGCAGTGAAGTAAATGTTGTCGTGGACTCGAAGGGGGAAAGGGGATTTTATGCTAATTTTCTGTTATGTTTTTTTGTGTTCTATGACTCCAATATTGGAACGTTATTACTCGAACGCGCCTCTGAAAGCGACGTGCGTACCGAAAGCTATTTTGTGTTTTTGACCATCTTTAACATGTGTTTTATGCATGTATGTGATGGGGGAATTCGATTCAGGGCGTAGTCGTAATTCATAAATTTTGATTGTGTATTCGTAATACCGGATTACACCAATGGGGGTGCCTTGCTGGTAGAGAAAACTCTGTTGGAGGAGAGCCAACTCTGTTTGTCACGCGGGACATTAAGAAAATCGTTAAACATAGGCAACTATGTGCTACTAGTTTAGTTCTTTTCTGGTAGTTGGTCGCTCTTCTAGGGGAATTTCCAATGAGAGGGTTGGTAGAAGTTGGCTTGCTTTAGTTGGTCTGGTAGTTAGAAAAAAAGGGGAAGCCTTTGTTTAACGAAAATTAATCGTAACGAAGACGACGCCACAGTTTCCCCAATAAGTGTAGGTAATTCTTGCGGTTTTTCTAATCGGAAATATGCAAACTTTCGACCGACAGCAACACGTACTCTAAAATTTGTTTTATTGTTTGTAAATTCACAGTCCATGTTACGATTTTAATCGTTAACTGGTTCTAACACAATTTAACAGTCATGAGGTCGTTCAGATAAAACACTTTCTAGGAGATTTCGTGAGGTTCACTTAGTCAGGAGTCATCCTTTGTTTATCAAGTTATAAATAAGGTTTCTGCATGCCTATACTTAAGTGTTACATTATAATTATAACACTTCTTAATTCCTCACACAAGATTGCTAATAGTTCATTTGCGGCAGTTAAATCAACCTAACGTTGTCCCATTTTGGGAAAAGGACCGTGGAAAGTACGGTAGAATTCATAATATCGTGGAGAGTCACATCATAAAGACATATATATTTCTCGCCACGTGGAAAACTATATCTCCGAGACGCATAATTCTCGCGATGAGGGGCGCACTTTGTGTCTATTTACCATGTGTTTGTTTGGGATAAGCCGAGGACAGTCCACGACGGTGTGACGGACAGTGACGGCCCGGAATCTCGCCGATAACGTGTGGTGGCGGCGTACTTGGATGCCAAGTTTTGGGCCGACTAGTGTCGCTGATATAATACGTCTGGCCCACCGAAGCTTATGCGGCGACCTTGACGCCGCCGGTCAAGAGCGGCGGTCGCTCGGGCCCCAGCTCCCTCTCTGGGGGAGGGAGCGCCGGGGTTGCTCTGAAGCCGGAGACATGGATCTCAGGTGGTGAGCGCCCGTGAAAACACGATAATAAAATAAAACGTCAAGGAATATTTTACACAATAAATAGGGTTTATTCCCTGCCACTAGCTACATGGCTAAAATAATAAATTCTTACAGCTAAACTTAACTACAACCATAAAACAACAAGTAAAATAATAACACGTCCGGCCCGGTCGTTCCTCCTGGACTGGGACTTCCTTCAGGACGAGCTCCTCCTGGACTGGGGGACGGCGACCTTGAGGCTGGAAATCGTGAGAAGACGGTACGGCGACCCGGGAGGGGAGCGCGGTGGCGGTACACGACGTTTGTACGACGGTTTCGACTTGTGAGGGTGACGACAGATAAAAGCCCGGTGACGGTGGTACGGTTACTCGCTCGGGGGCGGCGATTCAAAAACCGGTACTTAAACGGGCAGACGACCTAAAAGGTACTTACGGTGGTCGGAGGGTACAGTTCTCAAAAAAACCTTCTCCACACAGCCACAACACTTCTTCGCCTTTTGAGGCTTCAGGCCAGAATCCTCTTCCGCTGCGGCGGCGCGGCGGTCGCGGCTTTACCCCCGGCTCTCGCAGTACGCGTCACGGTTTCCGGCCCGCGAAAATTTGCTTCGTTACAATATAAACTCTCAAAGCTATTTTTTTTAAGTAACCAGTTTGAATCGTTGATAAAGTGTGGCATCATTTAACATCATGTAAATTTTTACTTGAATGTTGATAAGTGTGGCAAATATTAACCTCATGTAATTTTCTTAGTTTTGCAATTTTTAACCGAATGTGATTTTTCTCTGACAATAATTTTAGCCTCAGTAATTTTCATGCTCTGCGGTTCTTAACCTCACGTAATTTTTTTGTCTGCACAAGTTTTACTTCACACCAGAATTTTTTTGTTTTTATAAATCTTTGCTAATTTTTTTGACCACGTAAATATTTTGTTGATTAATGCTTCCATTATATAAATTGTCTGATGTCCAATCTTAATCTCAGATAAGAATTATTTGCTGTTTAAAATTTTCACGAGAGTGTATGGCGAATTTAAATGTTGTTTATTGCTCTTTTTGAAACTTTAACACTTGTCCGGTTGTAGTTTAATATCAAGAGTTATAGAAACTGAACATGTAAAAGGGAATTGAAACACGTGGCAGAAGTGGAGGGCGCGGTTCCTAGTCGAGCTGGCGGGATTTATCGCGCCATCTCCACAAAAGAGAGACTTAGAATAGAAGTCAGGGTAGCGGTCGGGATGACGTGACGCTCGCGGCTTGGCCTAATAGCCGGGATTTCCAACCATGAGTTTGCGACCGTAACGGCGATAATAGTACGTCATTTTGTTTGTAATTTTATGCAATTGTTTAAACAAATATTAAATCGCATTCGACGCCTCGGTTCCCCTTAAAAAGTGTATGTAATCAGTTAATTAATGATTTTCTATTATATTATTCACACTTCATAACTTCTCACTTGAGATTTATAACAGTTCATTAATAGTAGCGTTTGAGCTAATATTAAACATTTGACCCATTTTGAGAGAAAGGGCTTTGAAAGTTATTAACCGGAAAATTACTATAGTGGACTCGAAACGGGGCAGGTATTTTATGTTTATTTTGTATTACATTTGTGTTATTTTCTTACTACCTTGTTCAAAAGAATGCTCTGTGATTTAGCACACAGTACATAACGCTGAAAATTAGAGGAGCTCGATCGCCTTGATCAAAGATATTGATCCCGTAAACGTGATCTATGATTTGATAAAGCCTTGGATCTGTTCGTATATATTTTTTAATTTGCCGCCATACCTTCATATTCTTAACATAAATGAGTTATAATGATAAAACATTCTTTCTGTTAAAAATTACGTCGTTTCCTGCTCCTCCCTTCATCCAGTTCCCTATATCAGAAAAAATGGAGAAATAAAAAAGCATATAAACAATATACAAGCTTTATTTTATTGTGTAATGGCACCATTAATATTATATCTAATGGAAATATATTTTAACCGTGTCAAAAAAAGCAACACTTATAAATATCTTACAAACTTAGTGGAATAAGATAAGAATATCAGACTAGTAAAATAAATAACCCCCAGAAAGCGCTGTATAACAGCCAACTTTTGAACGAAATCTGTCTACATCTTTGGTTGCTTCAAACCAGGATTCGATACAATTCAAATAAAATTCAAACTGATGGTGTATTAAATACATCCCGATTTGTACCTACCCCCTATAACAAAAAAAAAACGTGTTTTATAATGTAGGCTTCAAGATCACATTTCAACATCTAATAATACACTTTCATAAATAATAGATCTTTCTCTTAAACCGATTAACAATCAACGAAATACTATATAAAAACAGGGACACGAAATCCGCCGAATTAAAAAAGTGGCACACATTTACAAAAATATATTCTCGCAACTCTTAAAAAAATTAACAAAAACAATTTAAGTTAACTAAATTACTGAATGGAACACAACTGCTTACGTAACTCAGATTCATTTTCGTCTAGTTCAACTTCAGGCACAATTTGACCGTTCGAAACGACTTCAGGAAGATAAGGTTTGTAATCGAGGCCTGACCTTTCGTAAAAAAGAATATACGCCGAACTCGTGTCGATTTTCGGAGCTTTTACGTCGCTGTAGGGGCATTTGTAGCTGTCCGTGCTCGACTTATTATCTTCCTCCTCATCCTCTTCGTCGAATAAACTCGATTCGTCGCCGCTCTTCATCACTTTGCGCTTACGTAATGGAGTATTGCTTTTTTTCGTTTTTGATGTGCTTTCGCCGCCATCTGTCAGTACTTCTCGGCATGAACTGTCATTGTAGCAGTACCAGTTGCCGTTCGGATTGCAAGCGTAAGATATGTAGTGACCACCGTTGAGCATGCCCGAATGGCTCTAGAAAATACAAATATTTTAGAATCGAACGAAAAACTCACCACTTGTTAATATATTTCTGTATTTTGTACACTATCCTAACGACGAACCGCGAACCACAAACTTGTCATTTCTGCTTACTTATCAATGACATAGACGTCCAAGGTAACAAAATACGAACCGATTAATCAACCACGAGTATAGAAAAGTATTATTTTATAAAATTTAAATAGGATTAAGCGTTTAACTTTTACTTATTAGTCTTCAAATGACCCAATTCCACAGCAATTGGTTTAGTAGTTTCAGAGATACGTGTCTAAGAAATCGACAAGAAACAACCGCCAGATGCACGGACAATCAAAATTTTCGTCACAAAACGTTGAAAAGCATGAAATTAACTATACTTTCTTCCCGTTTAGGAAATAAGTAAATAAGACCACTTGTGTGTTCACACCGGAACAAACGGACACAATTACGTCGCTTATATCGAGGAAATTAATAAGCGGCTTAGAAACGTTTAAGCGGCTTAAACACATCCATATAAACGCAAAGAGATTCAAGTGAATCGGCTTAAACGCTCAAGTCCAATCCAAAATTCTAGTAGGATTGGACCAAACGAAGCCGATTAAGAGAAACACATTTTTATGAACCTCAAATATGATCGCGTGGGTATAATCCTACGTTTCTTTTTAGTATTATTACAAAAAAAAATGAGATGAGTGAGGGGGAAAGCATTTTCTTGCTCTCAATTCTATATATATGATATTACATTGTGTATAGTTGAAAATAATTTTAATGTAAGCTATTTAAAAAATCATATAACTTCTAGTCTTTGACTTTTTTCTTAGTATTAAAACTAGAACTAAAATTAATGAAATATCGCGTCTGGTGACAATAATCCACGCGAAAAATTAGCATGACTGCATTTTAAGTTCTTGTAATTCAGAATTTCGAAATCACGAAGAAACTGTATAAAATGTCAATTATTTGTAAATCCGGGTAATTTAAATGATTGCTAATTGAGTAAAAAGATTTTTAAAATAATTTCTATAAATTAGCTTACACCTTTTTCAATATTGTAATTTGAAGTACTCTTTGTTTAATTTGTGTTTATTCAAAATTAACAGAAACCATGAAATCGCGGAGAAATACCATAGAAGAAAAATATTAAGTTTTTTTCCCATTTGATGACATAAATATCTCAGTTGTTTTATACAGTATAATCATATAATTTTTGTCTAATAAGTTAATTTTTCTAACCGAAAATTGAAATTATTATTAATCTTAAAAAAACACAATTTTTCACACGCCGGTTGCAAATCAATCTGGAGGACTTACAGCAAAGAATTGAACAAAAATACCTGGAGATTAATAACAATCCCACTACGTTAGAAAATGTTTTCAGAAATTTTGAGAGGAAAGGAAAACAATTTTCGACTGTTGCTAACACGCGTTGTAAATTTGTTTTATTGTTTGTAAATTCACAGTTCGTGTTAGGATTTTAATCGTTAACCAAGTCTAACACAATTTAACGGTCCTGAAATTATTTAGATCGAGAATTGCATGAAATTCACGTAGTCAGGGCTCATTCTTTGTTTACCGAATTATGAATCAGGTTTCTGGATGCTTATACTCAAGTGTTACATTATAATACTTCTTAATTCCTCACACAAGATTGCTAATAGTTCATTTACGGCAGTTAAAATTAACCTAACGTTATCCCACCATGAAAAGGACCATGAGAGTACGGTAGAATTCATAATATCGTGAACTGAGGTACGGGGGGATTATCAATTTTTCCCTTTAGGCAGTTATTATAGTTATTATCATATATCATCATCACAGCATCCGGATATATTTTTCTCGCAACTTTGTGTTGTTTATTTATCATGTGTTTTGTTTGGGATAAGCTGGGGACAGTTCACGATATAAACTCCCAAAGCTAATTGTTTTAAGTAACCAATCACTTGGAAAATGGCATACTTTAACATAATGTAAATTCTTTGTTTGAATAGTAGATAAAGTGTGGCATAATTTAACATCAGGTAAATTCTTTGTTCTGGCAACGGCCATGATGAAGGAGTATTTTCAAACCGAGGAGATGTTTGAACTATAAAATCTTAATGAACAAATTAACAACATTGTGGGTTATGTGATTTTATTCCTGTGATTTACACCATTATTTGCATAACGCCACAGGATTGATCGCATTTCTGGGAGACATATTTTTGACGCATTTTTTTCAACGACGCATTCCTCCGACGCCACAATGCAGCTGAATAACTTCACTTTTAAAAATTAACCAATAACTCGAATAGACACGAAATTGAAACTCATGTAATTTTGTAGGTTTTGCAATTTTTCACCTCACAATTTTAGCCTCAGTAATTTTCTTTGCTATATAATTTAAATCGAACGTAAATTTTAATGCTCTGCAGTTCCTAACCTCACGCCTGCAAAAGTTTTATTTCACAACGGATCTTTTTATTTTTACAAATTTTTGCTAGTTTTTCTTTCATGTAAATATTTTGTTGATGAATGTTTCCGTCATATAAATTGTCTGATGTCCAATCTTAATCTCACATAAGAATTCTTTGCTGTTTAAAACTTCACGAGAATGTATGGCGAATTTAAATGTTGTTTATTGCTCTTTTTGAAACTTTAACACTTGCTCAGTTGTCGTTAATATCAGAGTTATAAGAATTGAACATTTAATGGAATTGAGATTAAATAACACAGAAACACGTGGTAGAAGCGGAGTGCGCGGTTTCTAGTCGAGCTGGCGTAAAGTCACTAGATCTATTATTACTTCTAGAAAGTACGGCAAACTGCCAGTGCCCGGCGGTTGACAGAGAGGAACCTAACCGATGTGCTAGACAAAGACAGCGCTATCAAATGTAGGAACTGTCAAAGAAAGTTTGCTGTGTTTACGATTTGAGGTTACGACAAACCGTAGAATTATCGAGTCAACGGACCGAAAAGAACACTATTCCAGCCCTATACAACGAAAAAGTGTCACCGGTAACCGGCAAAAAGTCGTGGGGGACGTGTTAAGAGCAAGGCAATTAATTGACAGCCAAATGACACTAACAGGATCTATTTCATAAAAGTTACTAATTGCCACACATTTGAAGATCGAGTCACATTAAGTTGGCGGTATTTATCGCGCCATCTGCACAAAAGATGCAGGTTTGAATAAAAGTTAGGGGCGGTCGAGATGACGTGACGCTGTCGGTTTCTGTCCATAACCGGGACCCAACCACGAGTTTGCGACCTTAACGGTCTGCTCGTGCGGCATGTTCGTAATGAAGAGATGCTGTGCGGCAGTGCTTGCGATAGATAGAATCACCGTCGTGGGTAGGAGAACAGCCACAACCAGGAATCCCAAACTCCGCTCGTGCTACAACTGGTATTTCTGCTGTGCTCTAGAAGGAAATTGAGATAGTTCGATCTCCACACTCTCACAGCGCTCTGGTGCCGCTGCCGCTGCATAGTTTTTTTTTATTAACATGTTGTCCGTAATAACTTGTGTATTTGTATCCAGTTACTTTACTTCAGATTTTGCTTTGTTTTCATTAAATTTTGTAATATTCAAATATTTGCATTGATTCAGAACCTTTAATTTGATTTGATTCAAAGTTTGGAAAGTCTTTTTTTTGTAGCTGAGCACTAAGAAGGTCTTCAACCTGCGCAACTTTTTTTTCTTTTGGGTCAGTGGAGGAATAAACGATTTTGTCCTCCATATATTTTGTTTTATTTCGCGGTATTTTTCCAACCTTGGGGTCCACCATTTGCATCTGAACGTATTCCGCCATTTTTCAAAATACAATGTATGGTTCCATTTTGTTAGCGATCACAGACAAGACCATTTTTTTAAATTTTTTGCGGGCTTTCAATTTTTTTTTCACATGTCAATTTAAGGCGGGATGTTTGGGTTATCACAATACGTACTGAAATTTTTTTATTAAACATTTATACAATTACGAATACGTATTTCCCGAGGATATTCCTGGAAAGTGTCTAGGTTCCACTTGACAAATGTGTATTGTGAAATTCGGTTTTTAATTATGGTGCGAACAGCAAGACGTCAATAATTCTTTTTTTGTTTTCCACTCTCAAAAGCTAATGACGTTATCTACAATTTTGCTAAGTAAATTGAATTCAGAATGTGCAAAATAATAAGCTTTTTACCTTTTCTTTGCGTATGTTAGTTTCGGTTGATACAAAACATTAACATAATTTTATTTGTTTGATCTCCACCAAAAACTCGATAACAACTTTTCGAAGAATTATTAAATAGTTAGGTTTTACATGAATGTTTTTTGCAGCGAATTAAAAATAATAATTAGTGTTAAACAGATTCTGTCTAAAATAACCTTAATATACTCTTTTATACTATATTATTATACAGTACCTTTTTTTAACGTTGGTCATAGGGATAGACATGAATATAAATTAGGAGCTCCCTTCGACTCAAATTTGTTAATTAAACAGTACTGTGTTCTCAAAATTTGAAAAAAATGAGATAAGTAGTTTTGATTTAATAAATTAAAATAATTTTACTAATGATGTATAAACAATAATGCCAAGTAAAGCAGCAGCCAAAGCTTAACAACAAAGTAACGTCATTTGCGTCAAAATTTTCAGGAGAAATATTATTTATTTTATAAGTTATACACAGCCGTGGGTTTGGCCACAATTCATCAATGTGGTAAAAATTCAAGTAATCACCATAGTGTCGCATTATATGTCACTAAACGATTGTTGCTTCAGCAAAATCTTTCAGCCCCGGTATATAGAAGCTCTGTTAAATATTTGATTGCGATTAAATTTTTAACACGGCGTTAAAGTACCGCGCGACCGACTCTACGCCAATCAGACGTCGCTAAACGCCTCATTAAATGCGTGATTAATAGAGAGCGGATTTCTAGGTTTAATGCTTTTTGTGAAAAATGTAAGCACTTCAAAACTTTTTTATATCTGTAACTATGATACAATTTGGAGTCATTTGACACATTTTTTTTAATGCTTATTTGCTTTTTTTTCAATTTAATGCATGTTAAAATTTATATGCTTATTTAATGCTTTTTTCGACGAATATGAGTTTTAATGCATATTTTGTTCAAATGCCGGCCTTGTCGGGTTGACAAATACTTGTTAGGTAGCCGTATCGTAGCGTATGCATTTTACCTGGACTTGACCATTGAAGTACACTTACTCAAGACCCTTCCTGTGAATAGGTTCCGGTCGTTTAGGTAATAAAATTTTATTATAGGATTGGAAAAATACTCCATAGATTTTATGACTTTAAATCCTTACTTCCGTTGATAATGAATTAAAGCTTTTAACCAGATGTTCTTTTTCGGCATTTTGCGGCAAGACCGTTGAAGATTTTCTAGAAAAAAGGATTATTGTACCCAACTACCTACCTTAAAATTTTTCTAATGGAAACTTTTAAGTAAATGAACCGTTTATTTCACAACCATGAGTCTATCGCATCTGTCGTAGTACAGTGTTATACGTGGTTCTCCCTTGTTACATGTTGAGTTCTTTCTGGTAATATTACTAATATTTTAAAAGAATGCCGAAAGTAAAATCGACGCCGGATGAATGGATAAGGGATTTTCCAGAATTAAAATTAGAAAACAACAAAATATTCTGCAGAGCTTGTGTGAAAACCGTAAGCCCACTAATTTTTTTTTAATGTATTTTCCTTTGTTAATCCTGTATATGTACGTTGTTTTAGATTCAAAGTGATAAAAAATATAACGTGACGCAACATGTCAGAACGACTCTTCATGTAGAAAGGAAGAAAATGTTTGAAGTTTCTAAAATTAAACAGCATCTGTTGCATCTACTTCCACAAAAGATGAGCAGTTTCAGTTTAATTTCGATTTATGTAAAATGATGATCCAGCCCAATATACCTTTAAAAAAATTGGAGCAAGGCCCTCTTCTAGAATTCCTTGAAAAACACTGCAATCGACATATTCCGGTTGAAAGTACTCTCCGAAAAAATTATGTAGGCCCAGTGTTTCAGCAAGTTTACAACGAAATTAAACATCGCATTGGAGATAATTATTGATGGTTCGCTGTCGATGAACCAACCGATAGTTGTGGAAGATACGTGGCAAGTTTAATTGTTGGAATCTTAAATGAAAATTTCCCTAGTCGAGGGTATGTAGTAAGTTTGAAAATGTTAGATAAAACAAATGGCAATACGATTACCAGATTTGTAAATGACAGTCTTACGTCACTATTTTTGCCCAATGCCGTACCGGCGAATAAAATTTTATTGATGATCTCGGATGCAGCTCGTTATATGTTGAAAGCAGGGAATAATAGTCTAAAAATATTGTACCCCAATTTAATTCACTCTACTTGCATTGTCCACGGTTTAACAGAGTGGCTGAAGGAATACGTTTGCAGTTTCCTACTGTTAATAAATTAGTGGCAAATGGTAAAAAGATTTTTGTTAAAGTCCCACTAAGAGTGCAACATTTTAAGGAAAAATTTCCAAACATACCATTGCCTCCAGAGACGATTATAACGAGGTGGGAAACATGATTACAGGCCACATTTTATTATGACTAATATATCAAAGAATTTGAGGAAGTAGTTACGGAGTTTAGCGAAGATTCTTCTCAATCGATTAAAGATTGCATAAATATTTTGGAAAACAAAGATTTGCGACAAGATCTAGCTTTTCTAAGAAGCAATTATCAATTCGTATGTGAGGTAAAAGAAAAGTTAGAAAAACCCAGCATGTTGTTGGTAGATGCCATAAACTTAGTGAAAGAATTTAAACAACAAGCAAACGTAGTAAGGGGTGATATTGGTACTAGAGTATCTCAAAAACTTGACGAAGTGTTAAATAAAAATGCAGGTTTCGGTGTTCTTTCTGACGTTGCTCGTGTTTTACAAGGCCAGAAGGTGGAAAATTTGGAGTTAGATTCAACATTAGTCGCAAAATTCAAATTTGCGCCAACAACGAGTGTGGATGTTGAACGCATATTCTCCAATTTTAAACACATTTTAAATGATCGGAGAAAAATTTTTACAGTGGACAACTTGGAAGATATTACAATCATAAATTGTTTTAAAGAAAACTGAAATACGTGTGTAAAATATAAAGTCTAGGATTATTGTAATAATATTTTATCCAAAGTTCTAAGAAGTGTTCTTTGATTTGTAATATGATTATGTTTTTAATGCTTTTTTTCTTAAAATAAAACTTTTTTATTGAAAATGATGTTGTGCTTATTTAAGCGCTTATTCTTAATTTTTTCGTGTTTATAAATCCGCTCTCTAGTTATTAACTTAATCTCAGTTAAAATATTCTATAAAATGCCCTTAATAATCTATCCACCCATTCACATCCCTACCTTTTTAAAAATTAATCATATATATTACTATGACGTTCGAGTTCATTTCTTATTATTCTTAAATTTAGTAGAGCATGGTCTCAATAAATCATGACCAATTGTAATAAAAAAGTTGCCTGGCGATTCAAAAACACCCTGTATAATATAGTCAAAACTTACTGAGGGTACCGGTTAGGACGAATAAAGCTAATTGAACTGTTACCAACTGGAGCAACAGTATGACAAATAGTTATGTATGTTTGTGGCCAGCGGTCGGTAATTGACATTTTACAGTGATTATTGCATCTGATATACAAATTAAACTAGTTTTGCGCAAATTTAAGATTCAGGATTATGATAACCGTTAACGTCTTTGAAAAGTGGATTGAAGAAAAATTTATTTAAAACTTACTATAGGCTTATTGTAATGGATAATGTGAATAACAATTTTTAGTGAAAAATAATGGTCTCGGACAATCATATTCATTTTCATATCAAAAGAGAATTTATATGTTAAAGCATAAAAAAACAAGTTAAGCGCCTTAAAATTGACACTACTTACCACCACCGCATAGAGCTGGTACTTCAGATCGAACGGGTCCTGTCCTGGCAGTAGCTTGTGCTGGTGGTAATCTTTCAAATGTTCGTCGATGATTGGCGTCTTCAGTAAGCTCGTCGATTCCAGCCTGGCCCTAACTTTGTTCAGTTGTCCTTTCTCTTTTTGTCTTTCGGTGAGCAGTTTCGAATGCTCACTCGAATGTCCGTGCATTTCGCCGTTTTCTTCTATCGTCTTTACGCTATCACACGAACTTTCCAGATCTTGACGTTGTTTCTCGCGCAGCTGTAGGTGTCTGAGTATTGTTTCTTGTGGTACGGAAGCGAGGTATGCCGTCGGATCGAAGTCTTTGAACGGGAAATTGACGACTTTTTGCGTTTTTACCCATTTGCTGCTCACGTAGTCGAAGCGTTTCAGATGGATGATCTAATAATAAAAAAAGGTTATTGGTTAGTACTAGTACTCTAGGATCAACGGGAATAATAGCAACGAGATTGCATAAACTCATTTGGGTAGGTTTCTAAGTTTTTAATAAAAGTATTATCTAACTACTTCTCTGTAGAGTAAGTCGAATACCCATTAATAAATAACATGTACATTACATTATTCAGTAAAATCGGAAATCGACAGAGTAAGTTTTTTTTGTTCAATCGATTGTCCTGTGACCTTCCTAAAGCGAAGTCGAGCATACGGTGTTTATTTTAAGTTTAATTTCTAGTTTTTCATTAATGTTTAGTTTTTTTATTTCAAATTTACACTAAGATTGGTCTTACTTTAACAAAAGAATGTTGGTTGTTAACTAGTTATAGAAGACTAAGTTGACTTTACATTAAAGATTCAGAAAGTGTCACTACTTTATAGCATACTCAGTTGTCATAATCTGTCAGTTGAAATTTTTTTTATGAGCAATTAAGGACATAATCTACAAGGTTGAATATTAAGCACAGGCATGTATTTGCTTTCAAAATAATTATTTTTGATGTACATTATATTACGCACTACTGAAACAAAAGTAATCGATTTTTACCACGAGACTATTAACCTTAATTATCATGTGATAGTGTTCAGTGAGACGGGTCTTACTCCTGATATTAAAAGTTCCGAAATTTTTGGGTCAAACTATAATGTATATCGTCATGATAGGGACTCACGTACTAGCAATAAAGTTCGAGGAGGAGGAATACTCATCGCAGTTCATGTCTGCAGGAAAAAATCAAATTATTTTTGGGAGGAGTTCATATTCCACCAGCATCCGATGTAAACGTCTATCTTGACGATATTTCTTCCCTTGATAGTGCAAGAGATAGATTTCCTAATTCTATTCTGTGCATTCTAGGCGATTATAATATGCCAAGTATAGAATGGGTTCATGATAATACTAATTCACCTGCTTTAAGACCTACATATAATAATTCTGAACTGTATAACATTGTAGTAGACTCTTTTAATTATCTCGGATTATATCAAGTAAATGACATCCTAAACCATAATAACAATACGTTAGATCTAACTCTCTCAAATTCTGTAAACTTCAGTGTCCAAAGGGACAGTTATAGTATTGTTCCTGACATCGATCGGCATCATCCCCCTTGTAATGCAAAATTAATTATCCCTTCAGATCTCTGCAAAATCGAATCTCCGCCATTATATAAATTTAACTTTAAAAATGCACCTTACAATTCTATTAATGATTATTTTGGTTCCGTATACGATAAGCAACGCCTGCTCTACTTTTATTAGTAAATCTAAGCTACAAAAATGCTCGTGAAGAAGAAAAATAAGATGTTTGCTCAATTTAGACACACGCATAATGCAGAACACTTTACCAAACATCTTCGTTCTCTTGTAAAAAATACATTAAAGATAACTACGCACCATTAATATCAACAACGGAAGAAAACATTAACGTCAACAGTAATAATTTTTGGAAATTTGTTAGATCGGTTAATAATTCAGTTTCTGCCATCGACATCTTCAATATTTCATTAAATAGGTTTAAACGAGAGCTTATGTATTAAGTTACGTTAAGTAATAAGTAGGCTTCGGATCTTAGGTTTTTTGTCTTTTCATATCTACTTCAGGCATTGCAGCGAAATTTATATATTTATCCGAATTTAAAAAAATCGGTTTATTTAACGCCCATTTATTACTACCTAAGATGCCTAATTCACCGTTAGAGACCTAAAGTGTTAATTAAACGACCTAATTGTAAATTTTAAAAGACTTAAAATAGGATTCCACGACCACCGAAGCGGACGTGGTTGCACAATAGAGATTTTCCGTGAATTCATTGTTTTGGCTGGCAGATTGTTTAAAAAGAGAACAATTTAAATGCGCACTAGTTTTAATGAAATGTGAAATAAGTCACAGCATTATTAAAAACATTTCAGCACAGAAGAAACTATTTCAGCATTTGTAAAACTGAAAGGGCAATAAATAAAATAATGGCAGATTATTTTTTCTATTTGCGCAATAAATAATGCAATTTAGAATTATTTAATTAAATTTGCTCATTCGTTAAAATAACTGTTTCTTTAATAAATCAATTTGTATTTGAGAAAAAATAAACGAGGATTTCAAATGTTCCCTAAATTACTAAAATGTGCATTAGTTCACAGTAAAGTGGGCATTACACTCCCACTCTTTAAAGGACGTGTCATGTGCTTCATTGCGCGCCAGTTCGGCAGGGAAGGAATCCGCCCTTCTAAAGCCAAAAAAGCATTAATTATTATTATTCAATAAATTAATAATGTTTAGTAATTGAGTTTTTTGATGAAAGAATGTTTATTTTAAGTTTCTTTGTTAATTTTTTTAAAACTTTTAATTTGTTTAGCTACTTTTTTGCTATGAATATCTTATGTTTTTGTTAATTTTGTATGCATTCATAAAACACATTTTAATACAGCAGGTCTATTTTTTTTTGTTATTTTCTATACAGTTTTAATAATGCACGCAGTACAGAAAATCATTGCCCAAAACAATAATTTTATTATCCAATTTGCACTTAATATAATGCACAAAATGCAAAAACTTATGGCGCAACATAGTAAATTTAATGCACAAATGTTTTTGGGCATAGTATAAAATTTAATGCACAAAGTATTAAAAATAATGCACACTTAATTACGACCCGTTTAAAAATGGGTTGTAAACAACGCCCTTAATTTAATGGTACGGGTTTGCGTCGCCAACTGACAACGCTGTCCCGCATTTCATTTAGATTATAGCCGGAAGGAGGTGAATCTCTGAAAAAGCATTTTATTTTAGAAGTTTATTGTTAATGATACTGAGTGTCTTTGCGTGTTAGTGAGTGTGCTGGGGCCGGTTTTGATTTTTGTGCATACAGTAAAGAATCCTCAAAATGCCTAAGGTAAAATTATCCATGAAAGATAAAATCAAATTATGGTTAGGGAATAATTTGGACACTAATTTTAAATTTTCTTCTTCAACCAAAGACAATGAGTTATTCTGCAAAGTGTGTGGAAAAGTTGTAAGTAAACATTTAAAATAATGAAGCTTGAATTAGGTGTTTCCTAGTTTAAGTGCGAAAAAAAAATCACACTTTGAACAACACTGCAGTGGCGATGCACATAAAAAGAACGAGAATAAATCCAGTAAACAGACTTTATTAAACATTAGTTCCGACAATGATTTTACGCAATTTTGCACCGATTTATGTAAGGCATTTACCGCAGCAAATATTCCATGGAATAAAGTTAGTTGTCCTGAGTTTAAAAATTTTATGCATAAATATACAGGAAGGCATTTAGCCTCAGAAAGCAGTCTGAGAAAAAATTATTTATCAAAAGATTACGATATGGTGAGCACGAGAATTTTTATTTAAAACTTTTTAACATAAATTTTATAATTTACATGTAATTAAACAAATTAGAAATTCTATTGGGAATAATAATACATGGATTAGCGTCGATGAGACGACGGACAGATTAGGAAGATACATAGCCCATTTAGTAATTGGAAAGTTATCTTCTGAAGAAGCTGGCCGTCCATTTCTACTAGCTTTGAAGCAGCTTGATAAAACTAATAGCAACACAATCTCGAGATTTATAAACGAATCATTGGGTGTGCTATTGATAATTTTAAGCATTGAAATTATTATAATTTATTTAATTGTTAATTTGTAGCTTTATTGTGGCGAAAAGGAACTGAACACAAAAAAGTTAAATGGTTTGTATCAGATGGTGCTTCATACATGATCAAAACTGGTACTAATTTGAAGGTATTTATTGAAAATATAACACACTTAACATGTATGGTACATGGGTTACATTTAGTGTCTGAAACAATTAGACTGAATTATCCAGATGCCAATGGGATAAATAGCAATGTTAAGAAAATCTTTTTAAAAGCACCAATAAGAATAGAGTTTTATAAAAACAGTTTACCAAATACACCTCTCCCACCTGAACCTGTATTAACCAGGTGGGACACTTGGATTGAAGCAGCATTATTTTATGCAGAACACTTTGATGTTTTAAAACAAGTCAGTAAATATATAATGGTTTTTTACTATCATTCTTATATTGAATATTTTTAGGTTGTAATGTCATTTGAAGCCACAGATGTACAAATCATTAAAAAAGCTCAAGAATTCCTGAATAAAACAAACGTTAAAAATGAACTCTTGTACATTAAAACTCACTTTAAAATTATTGCTGATGCAATAGAACAATTAGAAACTATAGGTTTAAAATTAAACCGAAGTATGGAAATTGTGGAAAAAGTGTATACATCTTTAAAAAACACACCAGGAAAGGTGGGGGAAATAGCGTTCCGAAAATTTTGTTCTCTATTAAAAAAGAATCCAGGATACGATTTTATATGTTCAGTAAATAGCGTAATTTGCGGTAATGGAAATGCTACCAACATTACATACATAAATGAAAACGTAGATTGTTCAATATTTAATTTTGCACCCATGACTTCTTGTGATGTGGAACGCACGTTTTCAAAACTTAAGTGTTTTAAACGATCAAAGGTGTAAATTTACAATCGAAAATTTAGAGAAATATATAGTTTGCTTTTGTAACTCATTTTAAATACCTGAATTAATATTTTATTTTATGTTAAATGCGACTTGCTTTAATTTGATCGCCATTTTTTTGCGATAACTTAGAATTAGTGGACGTAACTATAGATGGTTTGTTTATTTTATCATTTTTTTGTTTGTTACACAAAATATTTGTTTCTAGAATGTTTTGTTTAATGTTTTTTTTTAAATATATATTTTTTTGATGTATGCTTTTTCGTTGAGCAAATATTTTTTCCTACAGGTTTTTAACCTAAACTAAGATTTTTATAACCTAATTTGTCAATTTTGGTACCTAAAAATGTCTCCTTTTATTCATTTTTTAACGACTTAAAATCTGAAGCCTAGTAATAAGAGTGTGTATTTATATTAAATATTATATATTTATTTATATTTTTATTTTATTAATTTTTTCAATTTTGTCATTATTTGGCATTGACATCTTTGGCATTTTTTTTCTGTGATTGCGACGACTGCTTATAAAAAAACTAAATTGGACGAAGTCGTCTATGGGGTGTATAACATGTTGCCTATGCAAAAATTGTCAGGCGTGAACAGATAAAATGAACATCCTGGATATGCGCATATTGACATGTTTTGTTTTCTGCATATAATTCCGACCTAATAAAAAAAAAACACTGACTAGGAAAAAATATTTCCAACAAAATTTTTTAAAATGTCGTGTTCGAACAACATAGTTACTGTTAAGACGGTTCAGGCGCTTAAATAAACTAAATACATCACATCTATTTAGTGCTCACCAAAATAGGCGGCAGCCGCCAGATTTGCAACTTCTTCGTCGCCGGCTGCTTATCTTGACAATTTGAACAATGATACTTCGTTTCCAACCTTTCCTCCGACGTAAACGCCTTCAGACAGTAATCCAAATCAATCGGCTCCGTATGCAATTTCCTACATTTTCCAACAGTCTCGTCCTCGATCCACAACTATAAACATGTCATCTAAAAACCTCAACAACGCTCGTCTTCATTTTTACCTTCTCCCTGCCACTCTGATACCTCAGATGCAACGCCGTCGGATCCCAATCTATCGCTATACACATCCCGGTTAGATTATTCTTACACCGCTCCACTAACAACTCGTCGCTACAAGGAAGCGTGCAACCCCTACAAAACTGCGTCCAGTGACATATCGCACAGATCTGCCCTCCTTGCAGTACAGCTTTCAGCGTGAACGGAAACTCGTAACCCAGGGAATCATCACTGGTGGACAATAAACAAGATTACTGTTACGTGATTTCATTAGCAGCAATCAGAAATCTTTGTCTACTCCGTAGCTTTAGAACCCAACTACTTACCAATCCATTGCGTGATTGGTCTGATCGCTTTGCGGCAGAGGACTGAGCAATCTAGTGACTTGACTCCACACAGCTTCGTATAAACCCTGGCAGGTGCTAGATGGGTGACAGCCTAGCAGTAACGGTGAACCGAACAGACTCGGTTTACTTTTCTGTTGCGAGAGGAAGTAGGTTTCTTGTCGAACGGATTTTCGGTGTACGGCTACTAAATAGGTAGGGAATTTGTTAGAAGAGGAGCTGTCAGTCGAGGAATGCGTAGAGATGGACGCCTTTTTTAGTATCACTCCGTTTATAAGTTGTCTGTCTGGCTTTTGTTTGTTCTGAAAACGGAAGTATGAAAGCTGTTCGTGCCAGATTTTTCCGATATCGATGGATATTGGAAAAACGTAGATTACTGATAGTCGACACGGCGTCTATTGAACCAATTATGTCTTTAACGAGTTGTAATTGTTTAAACAAACATAAAGGATAAAGACCTCGTTAAATGATCGAGTGTGTATTTAGAACTAAGATTTTGGAATTTGTAAAAAGTGAATGAAAATTGTGAATGTTGATAGGCCAGAAATCGGAATTACAAATTTTCAGGAATGGTACATTGTAAACAACAAAGACTCTAACTTTTCAAAATCTTAGAACAAAGTTCAAGATAGCTACCATTTAACGAGGGACTTATCAAAAACAACACACACAACAAAAAAACACTAAATTAGTGTATGTTAGTTGCAAAATCAAAAATTTTAAAACAAAACTTAGCTTCAGCACACGTTTGTTAACACTTGGTCGTTTTTGGCTAATTTATATACAAATCGTCAAAAAGCAATGACGGCTTTCTTGTGTCGGGAGGAAATGAAAACAATATTTACAATTTATTTTGACTTTTTTTCTTAATATACATAGCCATCTTTTCACAACAAGAAACTTAAAAAATGCTTAAAATGGTACATTTTTGCAAGGAAATATGGATTTTGCAATTATGGGACGAAGCCTAATTGTAAAATCGATATTTCCTTATACAAATTTTCCATTTTAAACATATTTTTAGTTTCATGTTGTGAAAAGAAGTTTATATACATATTAAAACCAAAAAGGCAAAGTGTAAGCCCGCCCATCCGCCCTACTTCAACTGTGATGATTTTTTTTATTCACCGCGAACCAAGAGCGACGAGCTTAACTGCAAAATATTTATTTACAAGAAATTAAAAACATGTTTTTGAATATCGTATTATTCAAAAAATACTATGTATATTAAGAAAAATAGGCTAAATATAAACCCCACCCATCTACCCCATCTTAGAGCAGCTTTCAAGACGAAAGGGTACAGGTGGTGGGAGTGCGCAGAACATTGTTTTGGTTTGGCCTTACAAATATCGTGCAAGCAGTGGCAGCGGCGATGAATATTTCGATTTTAAATATTAAAATATTATTGCGGTTAATAAAAATATCACTTTTCTATTTTATTAGCGTTGACATTATAGAAAAAGAATTTAAACAATTATTAGTGCTGTATTTGATGTATGAGTTGAATAAAAAAGTAAGTAAAAGAAGTAAAAAGGTCATTTTTAGTGAGCAATAATAACTGTTAAATTAGGGTACAGTCGAAGCTCTAGTTATAAACGACAATTATGCTAGAATATGAACTGTGATTATTACTTCGATGTTAAAGACAGAAAACGTTAAGCCTTATTATAATCCGACTTTACGGTATCGATAAATTGTGCCAAAAAATAAAAAAACATATAATTATTTCTATCTGGATGCATAGGTTTTACCTCCATCCTTATTTTTGTACTAATAATAATAATAATAATTATAGTCATAGGTTGCTTATTCTCAGAGTTTTAAGCCCGCTTTTATCTAAAGATTTAACTGTTGATTTAAGACTAGTCGACTATAAAATAGTATATGATACTGGTTTATAATAAGGGGTTCGTGAAATTTTTTACTCATGCTATAATCCCTCACATTATAAACTCGTTTAATAATTAAAAATACCAAATTTTGTCTGATAGATTATCATAATTTATTGTTACGTAAGCCTATTTTTTTAACAAACAAATTAATTTATTTTTATTAAATGGTTGCCTGTATTCTTTTGTAGAAATTGCTCTTTTTTTAATTGTTTTTGAAAGAAGTACAACTCAGCCGAGCCTCCCTTCTCAATGCATCGATGTTACGCCACTGATGGCCCGGCTACAAGTCGCGCAACTTAAGCCCCGCCCCTGTACCCTTTCGTTACTTCTAATTGTGATGTTTTTTTTTTCTTAGAAACTTAAAACACGTCTAAAATGGTAAATTTTTGTAAGGAAATATGCATTTTGATATTAGGCTCCGTCCCTAAGTCTGCTAACGAATGAAAACTTCATTACTATTTAGATCAGGGCAGGTATGGGCGGGGCTTAATTTTTGGCTTTAATTTTTTCTTAATATAAATAGTATTCTTTGAATAATAGTTATTTATGTATTAAGGGCATAATCAGGGAGATTGTGGCACGAGGGAATGTTTAAAGCCCGACGAAGGAGGGCTTTTAATTTCCCGAGTGCCACAATCGACAATTATGCACGTGGTACATACAACGTTTTATTCTATTTTAGTTTCTAAACTATTTTTAACGAAATATTGAGTATTTTCGGCAAGACTGTGTGAATTGTGCCGATGCGAATTTTAATACATAGCTGGCTATTATTTTGATGTTGTTATGGATACCACGTTGATTATTTGATAATTTGTTTTTCAAAATGTAAATTAAAGAAGCGAAAAACGTTTATTCAAACGAAAGTTTAGTCGGTCAGGTAATGATTTGATAAAATATTATTTTTCCAACTTAAGAAAAATGTTGAATATCGAAGCGTGTTTGAATAATTAATTGATTAGTGTAAATGAACAATCAATTGTTGCTTAGCAATTTTTGACAGATTTGTGCTAAAAAGGCCAATTTAAGCCCGCATTTGGGTGCTTATAAATAAGATTATGGTTCTAAAATAGAATAAAAGTTATTTATTATAACACGATACTCAAAAACATGTCTTACATGGTAATTTCTTGAAGAGAAATAATAACGATTTTGCAATTCAATTCCGTTCCTTTGACTCTCGACGATTAAAAAAAAAATCACCACAATTGAGATAGGGCGGGTGGGCGGGGCTTATATTTTGCCATTTTTCTTAATATACGTAGTCGTCTTTTCAGAACAAGAAACTTGAAACATGTTTAAAATGGTAAATTAAAATATGGATCTTGCAACAAGCCCCGCCCCTCGATCTGACAACGAATGAAAAATTCATCACAATTGGAAATTGAGATCAAGGCGGGTATGGGTGCGGCCTAATCTTTGGCTTTATTTTTTTCTTAATATTCACAGTATTCTTTGAACAACACGATACTCAAAAACGTGTTTTTAATTTCTCGTAGAGAAATAAGGATTTTGCAGTTAAGTTCCGCCTTCTTGGTTCACGACAAATAAAAAAAAATCGTCATAATTGAGATAGGGCGGGTGGGCGGGGCTACATTTTGTCTTTTTTCTTAAAATGTGTAGACTTATTTCCACCACAAGAAACTTAAAGATGTCTAAAATAGCAAATTTTTGTAAGGACATATGGATTTTGCAAATTAGGTTCCGCCCCTGGGTCTGTCAACGAATAAAAACTTCATTACTATTTAGATCAGAGCAGGTATGGGTGGAGCTTAATATTTGGCTTTATTTTTATTAATATACATAGTATTCTTTGAATAGCACGATACTCAAAAACATGCCTTACATGGTAATTTCTTGTAGAGAAATAATAACGATTTTGCAATTAAATTCCTTATGGCTCTCGACGATTAAAAAAAAATCATCACAATTGAGACAAGGTGACTGGGCGGGGCTTATATTTTGCCTTTTTTTTCTTAATATACACAGTCATCTTTTCATAACAAAAAACTTAAAGCATGATTAAAATGATACATTTTTGCAAGGAAATATGGATTTTGCAACTATGGGGCGGAGCCTAATTGGAAAATCGATATTTTCTAATACAAATTTTCCATTTGAAACATGTTTTAAGTTTCATGTTGTGAACAAAGGTCTACACATATTAAAACAAAAAGCCAAAATGTAAGCCCGCCCACCCGCCCTGTCTCAATTGTGATGAATTTTTTATTCGCTGTGAACCAAACGCTGTGAGCTTAACTGCAAAATACTTACTTCTTTACAAGAAATTACAAACATGTTTTTGAGTATCGTGTTGTTTAAAGAATACTAGGTATATTAAGAAGAAAAGGCAAAATATTAAACCCGGCCACCCACCCCATCTCAATTGTGATGATTTTTTTTATTCTTAGAGACTTAAAACACATTTCAAATGGTCAATTTTTGTAAGGAAATATCGATTTTGCAATTAAGCTCCGCCTCTAGGTCTGCCCATGAATGAAAGCTTCATTACTATTTCGATCAGGGCAGGTGTGGGTGGGACTCAGTCTTTGGCTCTAATTTTTTGTTAATATACACAGCATTCTTTGAATAACACGATACTCAAAAACATGTCTTACATGGTCATTTCTTGTCGAGAAATAATAAGGATTTTGCAATTAAAATCCGCCCCTTTTGCTCTCGACTATTAAAAAAATCACAATTGAGATAGGGTGGGTGGGCGGTGCGACATTTTGCCTTTTTTGTCTTAGAATGTGTAGTTATTTTGACAACAGAAACTTAAAACATGTTTAAAATGGTAAATTCTTGTAAACAAATATGGATCTTGCAATTAAGCCCCACCCCTCGATCTGATAACGAATGAAAAATTCATCCCAATTGAGAATTGAGGTCGGGGCGGGTATGGGTGGGACCTAATCTTTGGCTTTATTTTGTCCTTAATATACATAGTATTCTTTGAACGACGCAATACTCAAAAACATGGAGAACGAAGGATTTTGCAATTAAGCTTCGCCCTCTTGGCGCACGACAAATAAAAAAAATCATCAGAATTGAGATGGGGTGGGTGGGCGGGCCTTATATTTTGCCTGTTTTTTTCTTAATGTACATCTTTTCACAACAGGAAACTTAGAACATGGTTAAAATGATAAATTTTTGCAAGGTGGATTTTGAAATTATGGGGTGGAGCCTAATTGCAAAATCGATGTTTCCTTATACAAATTTTCCATCTTAAACATGTTTTAAGTTTCATGTTGTAAAGAGAAGTCTACACATTAATGTGTGTAGACTTCTTTTATTTCTTTTAATATAATAAACAAAAAGGCAAAATGTAAGCCCGCCCACCCGCCCTATCTCAATTGTGATGATTTTTTTTTATTCGCCGTGAACCACGGGAGCGGAGCTTAACTGCAGAAGTACTTATTTCTTTACAATTATGGGCGGAACCTAATTGCAAAGTCGATATTTCCTTATACAAATTTTCCATTTTAAACAAAAAAACATGTTTTTTAGTATCGGGTTGTTCAAAGTAGTGGTGGAAATACCCCAGGTAAAACTTTTTCTCTTTCCATCTTATGCACTTTGTGACAAAAAATTACCAAATTTTGAGTACATATGTCGTAGAAATTTTATCTCAAATTTTGAAATTTGTCATCAGAATTATTTGTTAAAGAGAATCTTTGGTTTATTTAACATTTTACTACTTTACTTAATTCTGAACAATGAAACGATTTGGTGATCAAACAAAACAAGTTATATTAAATGTGTTGGATTATTTAGAAAGAAACCATGGTGTTGTGGAATTTAAGAAAAAAAGAAAAATAGAACTGGTAGCCGAGTTGTTACAAATTTCTGAAACTTTTTTATATAATTTACAAAAGAATATAGGTTCAAGTGATAATACGTAACGATTAAGTCGCTTCACGCTAGAATGCTAGAGCTATCTTGGCGTTTTTTTTCTTATCTTTTTTTTGCAATATCAATACAAGCCATCTGAATTTCCTCCTCTCCACGCCGTCATCGAGCACAAAAACCCAAAGTGACAAAACACGTCGTACACAAAATCATAATAAAAAAATAGCAATAAAAGGCGTTCTGGGCGCGTGCATACCTTAAAGCATAGAATGTTGGGCATGCAAAGGGCCGAACCACCTCTTACCTCAGGACTGCGGGCCAAGGGACTATCGGAAACGGCGATCTCCACATCTGAATGAGACCACAAAACATGAAAAACTCATCTAAGAAGTAAACGTCGGCGATATATCGATGTATCAATGGATGGCGGTCCGCTAAAATCTTTAAAATCGATCGTCTACTAAAAAAACATCTTTTCCAGCTAAGCAGTTCGACCAGAACTAATACAGCCTTTGAAATCATGAATAAGCGATTTTATGTTAAAGGTCGATATATCGTCTTCTACTCCTACCAACAATAAGGACACAACACCACCATACTCACCCATATCGTTACTAAAATCCTCACTTTCTGCCCCTTTCGGACTGTTATCTGGCAATTCGTACGCGTGGAGTTCAGTCGCCGTACCCGGGTTAACCCGGGCCTCGTCTGAGAGGATTTGCCTCATCTGGGAATAGGCGAGTTCAGCTAGCAGCAATCGGTCGGTCTTTATATTGCACAAACGACTCAGTTGTTCCTTCAGCTCGATATATTTTGCCTCTGAGTTCAAACGAAGGCCGTATTTTATTGGAGTTTCGCCGTTCAACCTAACAACTACGAAAAAAAAATCATTGACAGAATTTTCACAGATTCCGTCAATTTGATGCCATTTTTGAAACTTTACGAGACTGCCGAAAAAAACAGTAACCAGTCCGCAAAAATGGCACCAAACCACTCCACCTACACTTACCCAAAACCTCACACAACGTATAGCTCTCCATCGGCAGCGGCAAACTCAGCAAGTTGAACGGATCAAACCTAACGGACTCGTGCCCACACGTCTGACACGTAACTTTGCTCTTCAGTTGACCATAAAACAGATCCGTAATGATCGAATGATCGCGGGCCAAATGCTGCAGCCACGCTTCGTCCGCGACCACCTCGTCCGGCCGTCCTCCCGAGTCTTTCAGTTCGGTGTATTGCTTTCGAGCGACTCGGTTCAAGTCCTCGTGCAGGGCGTCCAACAGCCAAGCCAGAAGCTCCTGGTAAACGCATCGATGGGTTACAGGGCGGGGTGTTTTTCTACCCTGCTTACCTGTGAGTCGTGTTGCCCCCCTCCCCCCAGATGGGGTGCGTGTTTCGTCACGCAGTACCTTAGTTTGAGGGGCGCCACGCTCCTGGTCGACCCTGCCCACAACTCCCTGCACAGTTCGGCGTATCGCCTCGCCACCATGCCTTTTGTGCCCAGGGGGTTGATGCTGTTCAGTTCGCAGAGTTGACCGTCTCGCTGGAAGTAGAGGGTGAGGGGTCGCGTATTGCTTACGGCTTGCAGGGCCGCGTTCATGAAGCAGGTGTTTCCTAGGTTGTGGAGACCGGTGGCGCCGGGTGGGAGGCTTATCGTGGGCCGACGTTCCGCACTGAGTACTTGTCCTTGGGGAAAAAAGTAGACATTGTATTCTTATGATTTTTTAATATCTTCTAATTTAATTTTCTAGATGCAATTTTTTTCATTTACACTGTAGGTCCAAATGTGGTCATTCTATATACGGATACACCGAGAACTGAGTTTAAAAGTAAAAATACCTTATCAGAACACTGTCTTTACGTCAAATCAAAGACTTGAAGCACAAATACAACTAGCATGGCCAACAGGTACCTACATTATTTTGAGTGATGGTAACCGCAACGTAAGTTGACACTAATGACAATTACGCCACAAATATTATTAAAAACTAGGTTACGTAGTTAACAATGATAGATAGTCCACAGTCATTGATTTATTGCAACAATTATAGCTATATTTGGAAAAATTTTCAAACCCTCTTACAAGGTGATACTAAAACAAAACTTAATTTCCAGCAAGTGTCTTTCCAAAAAATCACGTTATTCAAGTTTATGAGTAAAAAAAAACACTCACCTCCTGCTACCAACGCCCCCAACTCCTCCGGCCACGTCAGGTCCTTATTTCGCACCTCGAGCAGAATCTTATCCCCATCCACCACTCCCAGATCTTGCAGTGTCGCATTCTCGTCCTCCAACAGACTCGTCGCGTCCTTAATATGCCACAATCGCACATCCTCTATTCTCAGCGAAAGCCTCGAACACAGGAATTCTATCACTTGTCGTATGTTCGCCAGTCTGCTGAAGGCGGCGGTATGGGCCAAATATCTCCTCGGCGATGTTATCGGTGCCGTTGTTATACCTGCTGTGTTCAAAGCAGCAGCGCCGTAGCCTCCTACCACGCTGCTCCATGTCGCCGCCGTTCCCACAGCCTGAGATCACATCATATACTATTTATAAAACTGTAATTTTGTTTATAATCAATTTTTTGTTTTTTTTGTTCCAATGTTACATATAGTACGCGGAATTAAATCTCAGTACTGCAATCCCACACTTCAAGTAAGGTGTGTTTTATGGCGAGTAGCGCAGACGCTTTGATCTGGCCTACGAGTACAAGGACATCCCCAGTGCGTCGCGCTAGGAGTGTTTACAGCTGCTAAAAACCTGCTTTTACATTACTATATCACTTCAAACAATAATACTCGGTGCCCTTTTTAATTTTTCAACTACAGAAGCACAGATTATGATCTTGAAATGTTATATTATCTTGATATAGTCCAAAAGGAAAATATATTTATAATCAAAGTATCGACGCGCCAGCACTGGATCGAGCGTGTGAGATTTTATTCTGCGCCTTGGTTATATATAATTCAAGTAACAATAAATTCGATAATTTAAAACTACATCATATAAATTCGTTTTGATACCCTATAATTTTGTTTTGTTTCTATACCACATATCACTTATTTTTTAATGACACGCTATATATTTTTTAGAGATCTTGTAGAGCTTGTTTTTTTATTTCATTAATATATCATACTTTAATCACCCATACCCGCTACTGCCCACTGTCTAACATTCCAACACATTATGTAACGAAAACACACTTGTTTATATTTGTTCGGCAACTCTGGAGTGACTTGGTCGTCAAACCATAATAGGAACCGGATTAACAATTGCTCCAAAAATATGAATGCGTTGATAACGGGCAATACTTGTATGTAATAGTGAGTTTCCCATTTAAAAATGTTTCGGTCAACATTATTTCAGCAAGGACACGTACATCCGACACATGCAGTGCAATACTAAAAATAACACTGAGGTGTACCGTTTCAGAGATTTGAACAATAAAACAAATACAATTCTATGCTTTTTTATAAAATTTATTATAAAAATTTTTGAGATGTCATGACATTGTTAGGGAGATTGCGCAAATTTTGCTTAGCGTTTTACCACCTACAGGATATTCCTAACATACATATAAAATACAATCGGTCCGGTACAAGTAACCTTAGATCACATTTTTGTTCAACATTCAGTGATGTAACACACTTTACGTCGCGACAATATCCACATTCATCACATTGATTTATACTTGGATGAAATGTTTATATCTGGGCGCAACTACGACGGTCACTCCGCTGATAAGCAACTACGTAATGCAGAACACGTTATTTTTTTTTTATTACATCCAGTTTACGGAAAAATATGAATGCGTTGTAAAGCACATGCATAAACAACAGTGTAATAATAACAGTTATCTATTCTATTATTGTATTCTCACACTATGAAAAGGGGATCTGATGTTTCTGATTTGAAGGGAAAAAATTGGAAACCAGGTTCACATATAGCTGAGCCATTTTCTGCTATTACTAGGCGACGTATTATGTGGTAAAAAAAACAGTGATTAAACAAAAGCAGGGTGGATTCACAAAACACACGTGTGGGAGTATAATATTTTATAAAATTTAAGATATATTAATTATACCAAACTTTGCCGGGATGTCATCACGTTGTGGGTGAGGATGATTAGATAAATTTTGGTTAGATATTCCTAATATCAATACAAAATTTGACAACAATCGGTCTAATAAAAATTCGTGACGGCAGACAGACAGACAGACGAACAGATAGACGGACAGACAGACAGACGGAAAAGGGGGACCTATTTATTCAAATTCTAGCTGCTAATGAAAAAAGATAGTCCTCAACTCTAGAGTGAAGAGTTAATGATGAGAATAGTAAACATATTTTCTGTGGCTTTTAAAATTTTAAAATATTTGTTAATTAAAAAATTTTTGTAGGTCAGTCGAGCAACTGCAGAGAAAATTGTCGTCACCAAAAACGGAATTTGAAAACTTCATCTTCTGGCAAGCGAAAAAGCATTGACACTTTTTCAAATTGTACATTTAGAAAAGATCTGCAACGACTAATTTGCCAATACAACGAAAAAATCAGATATTTTCGAAGGATTCGCGAAAATATTTGGAATTTAAGGATAAGGATCATTTTTGTTCATGTTGTTGCAGCAAAAATTACTTTTTTGAGAAAATTCCTCCAGTTTCAAAATTCTTGTGAGCATTTAACATTCGCGTACCTCAAAAAGTTCCCTGACTTTTCCAGGTTTTCCAGTAATTTTTCCAGAAATTTCCAGGTTGCACATTTTATTTGTCAGAAAATTACGCACCATTATCTGCTTTTTATACAGCGACCCCCTAGAAGGCTTTGCATTTCTGAAATATGGTATTTTGATTGATGGTAATTTTAAAACAACCAAATAGAATATAAGAGTGATAAATAGTCTTTCAGGCTCTACAAGGTACATTAGAAATGAGACTAAGATAATAAGTAACAATCAGCCTAAGATAAGTGATATTTTTTAAAAAACTAATGACGCTAAATAAAAAATGCTTGAAATTTGGCTTTTTGATTTTTTTCCTGAACACAAATTAGCCTTCAACACTATAGATCACCCAGTTAATGGCTTGAAAAATATGTTGAAGCAATCACAAAATATATTGTTGGACAAACGCAGGAAGTTAATAGTAGATATTTTAGAAAAAGTTAAATTCAGCAAATTGATAGATAAATCAACAGATCGAGGATTCGCAAAAACCATGTGTGTTTGTGTTTGGTATATTCCATGAAGTTTCTTGGGATTGTTAGAGGTTTGTTTTTAAGAAGAAAGATTTTGAGACTGCCAATCAGGAGGCTCGCCTGTTAGCTATTTTTTTCTAAAAGAAATTTGATGAAGGCTGATCTAAGACACAACAGACTTAATACAGAAACTATATCAAAAACAATTCTTGCCTCAGAATATGTAAAGAATCTAGGCGGTTGTGTTATTCCTACAGATACGATCGTGAAAATGATGACAGAAAAAATATACATCTAGGAATAAAAAAACAAGGTGAAGAATCAAGTGGACCCGGGGATAATTCGGCACGGCCGTTCGGTACTCGTTCGGTTTCCGACGATTTTTCTCGCTAAGAAAAAAAAATACAAATATCAAATTTATGTACTTCCGAAAATTCTCCAGGACTTTTTCGGATTTTCCCCGACTTTTCCTGGTTTTTCCTGACTATTTTATTTTTCACATTTCCAGGTTTTCCAGTTCTCCTTTCATTATTTCACTAGGTGAACTAATTACGAGTTAGAATCAAAGGACAATGACTGAAATACTGAAGCGTAACTTCCCAGAGGATGATTTTTTTTAATTTCAGAAATTGTTTTACTGAAAAGAACAGGTACAACAATTCTTTATATTTTATATTCATTATTCCATAGTTCTGCGGCTCACTGCAAAAATACTTCACACATTTTTTAGAAAAGCATTCCATATTTTATTTAGAAAAAAAATCCAAAATCATGTACGTGTATAGAATTCGTCATTTAGTCTTTAATTAGGTACACTTTTTACAGTTTATTTTTGACCTGAGGACGGTTACCTTTTGGATATTATTCAATCGGCTGTAAAAACATACCAGCTTGCCTTTTGTTTCTTGATCCATGTATACATTATTCAGATATTTACTCCTTTTTATTATTTTATGTTAACTGCTAAGAATAATTATATAATATAATCAAAAATATTGATAGGGATTAATAAAGTTAACACTTAATTATTACTTGTTCAAATGTGAATTTTAAATTAAATTATATTGACTACACTTATTAAAAAGTACTGAAATAATAATTGTTTACTTTAATGCTTTGAATAAATTGTACTTACTGAAATGGAAACAGTGTTACAGTTTTTGACAGATTTTCTTAACAACTTATATGTTAAATTTCATTTTTCACTAGAGATTTTTGCATATATTGAAATTTACATGGACTACTTTTGTCTAAAAACATCCGGAATGGTATATACTGATAACTATTGAATGAACATGACAAATTTGTAAAAATTGATCCCAAAATTATAGAAAAGTATACAGTTGCATTTTTTTAAAGTTACATACAATCTGTTTTTATGTTCGACGCCGTACAAAGATATACATATCTCATGCAAAATATTTTGTATTGTGAGTGTGGAGATACCGCATGATTCATGTTGGTATTTGCAGCAACTTAATCTTTGGAACTATCAACACAACAAATGTCACAAGTTTTTCGAGAAGTAACTATTAAGTTCTTTTAATGGAGTGGTATACAAATATATATTTTAGGTCTATTTTATAGAGTTATTTTCGTTTGTACCGACCAAGAATCGTTGAAGTACACAAATTTCCAACAGATTAATGCAGTTTAGTTATTATCTGTTCTTTCCTTTAGTAAAAGACTAAAATGCTTTCGGTTCAGCACTAATTTTCGATTCGGCTTCTATTTTTTTGAGATTCATGGAGAGATTTTTTTAATTCTTCATTATTTTCAAACATTAATTAAGTTTTTTTTATTTATTTTCGGGTAGAATAAATTTAATTTTTTTGCTAACAAAGATTTTAGTATGCAGTATACTTTTGGCAAAAACTTGGTTTAAAGTAATTGTGAAGTGACTGAATTTCTCAAAAAAGTAATTCGTTACAATTACTCATTATATTTATGAAAAGTAATGCATTACAATTACTCACTACTTGAAAATGAATTGAATTACAGTAATGAATTACTTGTAATTGAATTACTTCCAACCAGATATTAAAATTTGCGTTTTAATTTACTGACCCATGTATAGAACTTATTAGTGTAACATAAAAATGCAACTGTACGTTAAAATTCGTAGAAAATTGCTTTCAAAATTGTAGGATACGTTACTTTCCAGTAATTTATAAAAATTTACCAACTACGAAATCACTTAATGCGTAAATTAAATAGAAACAAAAAATACAAAACCCATTTTTACAATTTTGAACACTACCTGAGATGCGTGCATCCAGATGCTCAAATTCAAAGGGTACAACTCAAGTTCCACCTCGCCACTGCCAGGCGGTAGGATGACCTGTCTGGGTAAAGGCAGCGGGCCTCCGTACCAGTGTGCAAGGGCCTTCCACAGAGAATCCGGGACTAATTCGAAGTCTCTGTGTTGTACTAATGGTGTATCTCTCTTCAATCTGCCGCCTTCACCAGTCAGAGTTCGGACTTTGTGCAGAGGTTCGGCTACCAGATTCGTGTTGTCGATGGGTCCGGGCATGCCTTTAGACAGACGTATAAGTCAGAAATGTCTCCATCGAAACAATTTTCGAAAAAAAAAAAAAATTTTTCATAATTTAGGAAAAAATTCGTTGACTTAATTAATTTAAGGGAAGAAGTAATTCTTTTCGAGCAGCTTTTGTTAGTTTTTTCGTAGCAACACCCGCTCGTTTACCAATTAGGCCATTTCTTGCAACACGCGATTGAAAATGATCTTAATTTAAACCGCCCCTGGAATCACTATATCATGTCGTACATTTCCTTATTAAAAATGTACTCTTAATCATCGCGACCTTCGCAAGACAACATAACCTACAGTTCAACGCATCAAACATTGAACAGCTTATATTTTTGTCGTTACCTTGAGACCTCTTCGAGCCGGTGGTTCCCGAGCTGCTCGAGACTCCGGAACTCGAGGCTATGCTGCAGTTGTCTCCTTTGCTCAGGAGGTCTCCCATGGATTCCATGCTGTTGGAGTTGAAGTCGTTCGAGTCCGTACCGGTGCTGATAAGACTTTCGTCGCATACTATGCCTTCTTCGACCAGACGGGGGTCGTTGGTACGGCACTGGCAGTGGTCGAGGTTGTTTCGGGGGGCCGTTGCGTAGTTTAGCCAGTTTTGCCACCAATCTGAAGAGATTAAGTACCAGAATTGGCCAATGTGGTAGCCGCGACGTTCTTCGCGTTGGAGCCATCCGGTTACTGGAAGAAAAAAGGGAATTTGATTTTATTTTATTTTTAGTGGTTGTTTATGTGGCGAAAGAACAACGTCATATTACAATATGTTCTTCCTGTGGCTCTCATGCAAGAAATATAAATAATAAATATATTTTTTACAATTCACAAACATTTTCGTAAGGTAATTAAAATCGAACTTAATATGACAAAACTGTAGTGAGCTATTACTAAGGGGCCAATGTTCGATTACTTAAATACATAGCGTGAACGTACATTCAATTTTGCTAATTTACCTGTACAACTGAAAATTATAAGTTAATACTTAATACTGGAATTAGAGACAGTTTGCATTACTGATATATCGATTTCGCATTAAGTCTACTGAACTATTTAGCAGACAGAACAATAAAATAAAACAAAGCCAAGGTTTAGACTGTAGCAAATGCATCATCAATTATTAATAAAAAATGCCAATAAATATATTTTTTCGAATATGATTATATCCTCTGTAATCCGCTATAAAAAATAATAATAGACTTTTACGAAATGTAATAGATTTCATAGCTGTGATTGTGATAAATGTATTAATGCCTACAGTAAAACTCCATTGGGATTAGATTCCCAAATTTTTGAGAAAATCTTGTGAATCTAATCTTTTTAATTTGATAAAAATATTGTGACTCATTCATTAACTATTCCAGCCACCTTCGAGTTAGTAATTCATCATTTGACGACACGGCCACGGAATTCACCAAACGTTAGGGCTGTTATACTGATATAAAATATGATGATTCAATGTGGCTTTATTTTGCGAAAATCCGGATGCCTACAGTAAAAAATCAAGGCGAGATAATAAACCACAAGTATAGGAACATGTTATTTTATAATATTTAAATGGCGTTTGCTGAAAAAAATTGAGGGAACGTCATCAAATTATTGGTGGGGATGATTTCAGTCAAATTTTGGTTAGAGTTTCATCATCTACACGATATTCCTAACATACATAAACTTTTACAATAACGTAGGCTAATATTTAAAAAATTCCACCACGTAGGGTTTTTTCAGAATTTGTATTTTTTTGTTCTATCTACAGGTTAGCCAATGATCCTTTTTCAATTGTTGTTTAAATCAACAATCATAATGTTTTTTTTACGTATGATGATACAAACTATTCTAGCCAAACCATTTAGTTCAGTATATTTTCTTTACAACTGACTTCATTCATTGAATTTAAACTTTTTTAACTTTTTTGCTATATTTATGGTATTTTACTGTGCGTTGTCATTAGATTTAAGCATATTTTAAAGTATTTTTATTTTTTTTGATCACCTGTTAATAATGTATTAATTAAAGAACATTTTTTTGAAGCCTTTTTGTGAAAAACCCTTACGTAAAGGAAAAAAATGGAGTTCACATTTGGATTCAACGCTGAAAAAGACATAAGAATCAGCTATTAAATTGGAGACAATTTTTCAAAAGTTAAAAAATGAGGGCCTGTGTAATCAGTTCGAAGAATATCTCTCTAATAAAAATAAAAAAGAAGACAAACGGACACAGGTATATTTTTCGTATTCTAGGGTTCATGAAATGTCAAGAAAACATAAAAGTAGCCAGTCGCCCGTTGGAACCTTTTACAATACTTCTTTAGCTTACGTCTCGCTATCGTTAATTTGCCCTGAATTTTTAGCTGTCTTTCTCATTTCCCCTTTATTGTTTTGTTTGATAGATAAATAAAAAAGGTGGTCGAAATTTAATTCGTTATTTTATTCGCCCTTAAAGCATTATAGTCCGATACAGTAGTCTTAAAAAAATTATAAAATCTGATTTTGCGATTTTCGTTTTGTTGGTAACCTCTATAAAGTAAATTGGAAAAATGTAGACATTCTCAATTTGTCATTATATGCTTAACTTCGACTGTTTATATTCACACTTCGAAAGAATTCGGCTATTAGCACGTTCAGACTACAAGCATCAGAGGTTAAAAGAAAATGAAATTTGACTGATTTTGTCTCCTCAAAGCTGAGGGGAAAGTAATTAATTAATTAGCCACAGTTAAATTTTTTCCCAAAACACTCATAAAATTGAAGGACATTCATTTGATAAAATTGTAAGATAATACAATACAATAACCTTAAAATATTTGCAAGATTTCACAGCATTCGGTTTTTTATTTCAAAGTTAAATTGTAAAATATTGATACACAATTTTGATTTTTTTTTTCAAAAATCTAGATGTCAAGGGTGAAAACTCAACATGGAATCATAAATCACACATACAACAGCATGTTATTTTAACATTTATTCGGCTGAATTGTAAGATGATCATCAACACGTTTGCAAGATTTCAATTGTAACATAAAATTCTAATTTTTTTTCCCAAAAATCTAGAGTTCTAAGAATTTAAGAGACATTTAATAAGAAAAATTATAAAATAACGTCATCATTTTTTAGGGGGGCACAAACGAAAATGTTTTGAATAACGATTTACCATGCTTACGAGAACCTTAAAACGTTGACAAGATTTCACAGCATTCGGTTTTCAAAGTTAAAATGCAAAATACTGTTATACAATGTGGTGACCAGATTTGAATTAAAATTTCGCGTTGAAAAAAAAACAGCGGCGCGAAATCGCATTTGAATAATTTGAATTTGAAAAAAATTGTCAAGAAAATCGTGAAATATAGGCAACCATTTTAACAAGTTTAGTTCTTTTCTGATAGTTGGTAGCTCTCCTAGGGAAAAATGGAGAAGCCTTTGTTTAAAGACAATTAATCGTAACGACGACGAGGCCCCAGTTTCCCCCAACATGCGCAGCTAATTCTTGCGATTTTTCCAAGCGAAAATATGCGAATTTTCGACCGACGGCAACACGTAGTGTAAATTGATTTATTATTTGTAAATTCACAGTTCATGTTAGGATTTTAATCGTTACTGGTTCTAACACAAGTTTAACCGTGAAAGATTGTTCAAATCAAGCACTTGCTAGGAGATTTCATGAGATTAGATTGGTCAGGACTCGTCCTTTGTTTATCAAATTATGAATAAGGTTTCTGGATGCTTATACTTAAGTGTTACGTTATAACACTTCTTAATTCCTCACACAAGATTGCTAATAGTTTATTTACGGCAGTTAAATTAACCTAACGTTGTCCCACTCTAGGAAAAGGATCGTGAAAGTACGGAAGAATTCATAATATCGTGAACTGAGGTACGAGGGATTAACATTTTTACCCTTTGGCAGTTATTATCATCGTATCATCATCACATCACCGAGACATTCTTCTCGCAACATTGAAAATTACACCACCGAGACGCATATTCCTCGCAACGCTGGATGCACCAGTCACTTGGATTATGGCACAATTCAACATCTTGTAAACTCTTTGTTTAAATCGTTGATAAAGTGTGGCATAATTTAACATCATGTAAATTTTTTGTTTGAATCGTTGATAAAGTGTGGCATAATTTAACATCTGGTAAACTCATTGTTTGAATCGTTGATCAAGTGTGACAAATATTAAACTCATGTAATTTTGTTAGCTTTGTAATTTTTCTCTATCCCGCAATTTTAACTTCGGTAATTTTCCTTGTTGTATAATTTAAACCGAACATACATTTTCATGCTCTTCAGTTCCTCACCTCATGATTTTTTTTTATCTGCACAAGTTTTACTTCACATCAGATCTTTTTCTGTTTTTATAAATCTTTGCTAGTTTTTTTCACGAGAGTGTATGGCGAATTCAAATGTTGTTTACTGGTCTTTTTGAAACTTTCAACACTTGTTCGATTGTAGTTGATATCATCAGAGTTATAGAAATTGAACATTTAAATGGAATTGAGGTAAATAACACAAGAACACGTGGCGGAAGCGGAGTGCACGGTTCCTTGTCGAGCTGGCGGTGGCGCCATCTGCACAAAAGACGCAGATTTAGAATAGAAGTCAGTGGAGCGGTCGGGATGACGTGACGCTCGCGGTTTGGGCTAATAGCCGGGATTTCCAACTACGAGTTTGCAGTGCTTGCCGATAGAATAGTCACCGTCGTGGTGGGAGAACAGCCACAACCAGGAGCCCCAAACTCTGGGTAATTTTGCTGTGCTCGAAAATGAAATTGATATAGTTCGATCGCTACACTCTTATAGAGCTCTAGTGCCGCTGTCGCTGTGCTGCATATAGTTTTTAATAAAATGTTGTTCTCTTGTTGACTGCCATAATTTAAATTTGTGTCACATGTCCGCAGTAACTGTATTTGCATCCAGTTACTTTAATTCAGATTTGTCTTTGTTTTTAAGTTTTTTTTTGTAGCTGAGAAATAAGAGGTGCCGTCAACCGGCACAACTTAGTCGCAGTTTCATATTTTCTCGACGTTTCATGACCCCTAGAGTACGAATAAAATGGTCTCCCGTTTCCGTCTGTTCGTCCGTCTGTCTGGCTGTTTGTCAGTCTGTCGTCTGTCTGTTATTTGTGTCGACTTTTTGATGATGGTATTTAACATCTAAGCTCTACATTATCAGAGCAAACAATTTGAACAATCTCAAGAACCGAATTCGGATAGAAATGGCCAATATGAGCCCAAATACCAGCTCGTTTATCTCAAATGATTGATGGACGGCAATTTGAATTAAGTTAGTTTGTTGTTATTTTACTACACTGTTTAGTAATATTTACTTTATATTATTATAGTTATGAAACTCTCGGAACACTAACTAAATGAAGTATTGTAATGAATCATCATTGCTGAAACGAATGAATATTTGAATTGGATATTTTAGGCATACTTTGAACCTAGGATTATAGCAATGTTGACCAAAAAATTTATTAGTCAAATATTACATAAGAAAAAGTGCAGCACGGCATATTCCTGTATTCGTGCTTAATCCAGTATATAAAAATAAGTACACATCATCAAATTTTACACCTCATTACATAAGATCAACTAACTGTTTACACAAGATGTCTGGAACTAGATTACCTAATTTCAGTAGCGCCATTTTTATTGTTATATATTTTTACATTGTACATGCAAAAAATTAATCCAGATATTCTTAACTGAAACTTTACCTATTTTCGTCATTGTACAATATTTCTCCAGATATAATAAAATTCGTGAAAATACATTCACCCCTTAATTAAACGTACTGATGACGCAATTCTATTAAAAACACACGAAAACAACATAATTTGTGATTTAATGTGCTCGCCAGCAAACAAACAGTGTTTTGTTTGAGTGTAAACCAATTAGCACGACAAAAAACAGCGATGAAATAATCTTTCTCATACTAAAAGAATTCAATTGTCTGCATTAATTTGATAACGCCTACTTGAAAGCCACTGATCAGTATTTATCACGTCAGTAAATAAATGCTTTTTAAGTACATAATACTCGCATCTTAATAAATCGTTTCCTAACAAACGAGTTTGTTTTATCTCAATTTAGAAGTGACAAAGCAATTCCACATTATTACCTATTGTTGATATTTTTAGAGTTATTTGCTACCGTCAAAATCAACAAGGTGGGACAACCGCAAAAGTGTTCTGACGCAAAATATCTTCATTTTACATTAAAAAAAAAAAATCATCTAAATAATCACATTTACATAAATTACACAGATCGTCCGACGAGTTTATTATTTTCGTTCTTATCAAAAAATGTAGCGGCATTTTTTGATAAACAGATAAACTTATTTGAACAAACACAGCAATTGTTTCGGCGATTTCTCCGAATATACAATAAAATTTTATCAGCTGCATAAGCTTACCTATATCGTGTTCATGGTGTCTACAATGAGGCCTCAGGACAAACGAAACATGACAAACTTGAAACAACAACTCCAACATCGGCTCGACCAAACCATTCTCTTCGACTCCCCACACCAGAAACTCCTCCTGACTTAATCCGCCTCTGTCGTCTAACCTATTCGTCAAAGAGTCTAAAATTTTTGAGTGATCGTCGCCATCACTTCTATCACTAAATCTTCGGTTATTTTCGTTGGCTATAAGTAATAACGTTTGAATCATATGTCTTAGTTCGTCGGGGTTTAAATAGCAGTCCCTGTCCATATCGAAGATTTTGAAACAAACTAAAAGCAACAACGGTCAAATGGGAGAAGCTACTTTTTGGAAAAACAAACATTTCATTCTTTCGGCCGTTGGTCCCCTGCAAGCCGCCGAAATCCCGCAACACAACTCCTTGAAGTCCACATGTCCGTCTCGGTTCACATCTAACGCTAGAAATAAGCCCTCGCATGCTGTCAATGGTATGGGAGGACAAACCATTGACCGGACACAGTTTAAATCAAGATGGCACGAAGGTGATGAGCTTTGAAGGGTCCAAAAACATTTCTCTAATTCGCAAATGTCTTGCTCTTCAAGGTGGGTCACGCCGGCTAAAGTCTGATAGAAAGTTGGGGCTTCGACTTCGGAGCTCAAGGAGACGCAGGGATTCGATAAGAGCCTGCAAATCAATAAAAATTATAAGCCGGTGACCTTAGTTACTCAAGGCTTTCATTTACGTCCGATATTGTCTCCCACATACCTACATCAACAATATAGAAATATTGTATGAGGTGACTCAAGTACTACAAAGTAAATTTACTTTGGCACAAAATTATTATTATTATTATTATTAGTAGCAGTACTAGATATTGATAAGAACATAACTTTGTCCTTAAAAAAATATCACTCGATATGAGATAAATAAAATAATGGAAAGTCCAGCCAGCTTAAAGCATCATGATTTTCATTACTTCATATTCCGTTATTATTATCAGCTGTGTTTCTTAAACTTGTTTTTCAATTTTGTTGTGATGTCATCATGAATCATTTGCTGTTTATTAAAATGTTTAGTGTTTCCTTATTTTACTATAACTAGAACTATTTATTATTAGGGCATATTTTCATTTTAAATATTTCTCAAACACGGTCTGGATACACAATGATGACCGGCATTCAGGCAAGAGTTCTATCACTGCCAATATTAAGATCAAGCAGCAATTTAAGTTGTTTCTCACGCCTTTGCTGCTTACTGATCGGTTTAGGCATTACTCTAATCTAACCCGTTTAGAGGTAAGCTGTTCTACTTATTCAATATGGTAACACTCTTCGAAAAACTTACCGACAATGTAACATGTTTCTCACCCACCCACATCTTGAATTACAATTATTATCGATCCGTTTAAGGATTATCAAGTACGTTTCTGATAATAATTTTCTGCTTTACTGAAATTTCTGTGAAAAAACTCGATTCCGAATTTCAAAAGTGCATGAAATTTTGACTTGTTTGAAGCCGGATCACTTTGGATGCAGAATTAGCGCGTCGACCGTCGCAGGGAATCTTAACCAATTTCAGACTTCTTAAGGGTTAGTTTTTTTTTTGTGTCGGGATTTTTATGTATTAACACTTGTCTTGCTACTTCCTTCATAGTAAATTAACTGTCCTATCAATTACTCTGAAATTTTCAGTTTACTTATGATTATTGATTGCTAAAACATGTAAATACCGAATAAAATTTATCTAGTCTTTTCTTCCAATAAACTGATAACGCCATATCATTTTCTGAATAAATCGCACGTAAAAAGGTGCAGCAGACACTCCTTTACCTAGGTTTAATGACCTACCTATATTTTTAACTGTAGCTGTAGTACTACGTGCAATAAAATAATAATTCCACAATTAAATTTTGCAATTTACTAAATAAACTAAAATTTATTTATTCATTTCGTCTAGAACATTCATGACGTCATATATTTTCAGACTTTTTTACAAATTGAATAAAAAATCAGTGTTGAATACGGCCTGATATGTGCCCTTAATGATCCTATATCTTTTTTTTTTTAATTACGATTTTTATATATAAAATAATTATAACTCAAAAAGTAGCAAGAATAATCAAGCTTGGAGTTTTAATTACGTTTATTTTCTTTCTTTTTTTTTTAGTTTATAGTGTATTTATATTTGCAAAGTTTACTCGAATATTGTTACTTAGTTAATGTTTTGGTATACCTACCCTTAAAATAAAAATTGGTCTAAGTTAGTAGAAATAATCTCCCTCGTCCCTGAAGTACCGTTCAACAAATCCAAGTTCTTCGGAAAACGATAAAAATTGATTTTGCGAATTTTATTTTTTCTATAATAACTCCCATAAATTAAAAAAAAAAAAAAAAACGAGCCATATTCATAAACTATACGTTTAGGATTGTTATTTTATAAAATTTAAAAAAGCATTTATTATGTAAAATTTTTCGGTGGTATCATCAAAATGTTGATTGGGATTTTTGTTTAAAACGGAAAATTTGGAAAAATCCGTATTTCCTTGCAAAAATTTACCATTTTACCCGTGTTCTAAGTTTCTTGTGAAAAGATGGCTATGTATATTAAGAAAAAAAAAGCCAAAATATAAGCCCCGCCCACCCGCCCTATCTCAATTGTGATGATTTTTTTTATTCATCGCGAGCCAAAGGGGCGGAGCTTAATTGCAAAATCCTTCATTCTCAATAAGAAATTAAAAACAAATTTTGAGTATCATGTTGTTCAAAGAATACTATGTATATTAAGGAAAAAAAAGCCGAAGATTAGACAACACCCATACCCGTCCCAATCTCAATTCTCAGTAGTAATGAATTTTTCATTCGTCAGATCGAGGGGCGGGGCTTAATCTTGCATCCATGTTTGTTTACAAGAATTTAGACATGTTTTAACTTTCTTGTTTTGAAAAGAGGACTACGTATATTAAGAAAAAAAGGCAAAACCTAAGCCCCGCCCACCCGCCCTATCTCAATTGGGATGATTTTTTTATTCATCGTGAGCGAAAGGGGCGGTGCTTAATTGCAAAATCCTTATTTCTCAACGAGAACTTAAAAACATGTTTTTGAGTATCATGTTGTTCAAAGAATACTATGTATATTAAGAAAAAATTAAAGCCAAATACTGAGTCCCACCCACGCCTGCCCTGATCGAAATAGTAATGAAGTTTTCATTCGTTGGCAGCCCTAGAGGCGGAGCCTAATTGCAAAATCGATATTTCCTTAAAAAAAATTACCATTTTAAATGTGTTTTAAGTTTCTAAGAATAAAAAAAATCATCACAATTGGGATGGGGTGGGTGGGTGGGGTTAATATTTTGCCTTTTCTTCTTAATATACATAATATTCTTTAAACAACACGATACTGAAAAACATGTTTTTAATTTCCTGTAAAGAAATAAGTATTTTGCAGTTAAGCTGCGCCCCCTTGGTTCACGGCAAATAAAAAAAATCATCACAATTGAGACAGGGCGGGTGGGCGGGCTTACATTTTGCCTTTTTGTTTCAGTATGTGTAGATTTCTTTTCACAACATGAAACTTAAAAGATGTTTAAAATGGAAAATTTGTATAAGGAAATATGGATTTAGCAATTAGGCTCCTCCCATAATTGCAAAATCCATATTTCCTTGCAAAAATTTACCATTTTAACCATGTTCTAAGTTTCTTGATGTGAAAAGATGGCTATGTATATTGAGAAAAAAAAAAGACAAAATATACTCACTGGAATACAAACAAAACTTGATAATAATAGCTTCGGAGATTCTCCTTCTAATAAAATCGACACAGACGAGAGAAAATTAGCGTTTTATTTTGTTGGAAATATTTTATTGTAGTGTTCAATTTATTTTATTTAAACTGTATATAAAAAGGTTGTAATATGCATTATATTTTGTTCATATGAAAAGAAAAGAAAAAAAAACAAGAATGATTTAAATCGGGCCAACCCTGACACAGAATGTCTCAAAGATATTGATTAATATTTGAATTAATTTATTTTATTATCCTTTTAAAAAAATTATATCTTTGATATTTATGCATGCAGTATTTAATGTACTCAGAGGCGAAGGACGTTCCCACATATTGTATTATTAATATAATTAAATGTATAAATTGTAAGTCAATCAAATATACCTAATATAATAAAAAAAAAAAAATGGTGGAAGGTTATTTCGACAGAAATTTTTCGAAAATAAAAAAAAAACTATTTTGCGAATTTTATTTTTTATGATAACCCCTATTGAGTATATATCAATTGGGATAGGATAACACTACTATAATCCCAAAATTTCTAGAGAATCGGCTAACCCATGTTTAATTTAATCAGTCAAATAAGTTGCCTCATTAATTAATTTGTTTGAGTCATTCTGTATAAAAAACTGTAAATAAGACGTCATTCACATTATTCTAAGAAACCATAATACTCCTAACAGGACATGTAAATTTTACTATGTCTCGCATGGTTTGTACTATGTATGTAAAAACCAGCTTTAGTACGAGAAATATTGAAAAATAAAAAATATAATAATAGCACATAAAATCAAAGCAAATTCATGAACAACAAATGTTACTTTATAAAATTGATATGGGATGTACTAAGACAATTTTTACGATGACGTCATCGAATTGTTGGTGGGAATAATTAGATAAATTTTGGTTAGTGTTTTACTATCTACACGATATACCTAACAATCGATTTGGTAGTTTCGGAGATTATTTTTAATACTCTATAGGGCTTAAAAACATGTTCACTAATTTTATAAATATGTGCATTAATAAAACTGCAATGCGGCCATGTCAAAAAACTGCAGTCCTTTACAATTTTTTAATGAAATATTTATTTATTATATCACTCTACTTTAACAACTATCACATATATAAAAAAACTAAATATTTAAATATTTAAATATAATGTCTTCCTTAACTTTTAATTAGTACTTATTTTCTGTGTTATCTTACTCAATTTACATGAATTTCATGTGCTTTAAAAAGAAAGCAATGATAATTTTACGCTTTATTGTGTGGTATTTAAATGTAGAATTCATGTCTAGGACACAGCAATCGGCAAAAAGGTCGTTACAAATAAAAAATTACAGTGTTAAAATGCATGCAATTTGCATATCCATTTGCAGGAATTACGTAATTAAAAGCTTTTACGCTAGCTGATTTTTAAATGTTTTATTTTGTACCGAAAAAATGAGCTTGTTTTTAAAACGTCAGTCAATAAAAAGAAAATTCACTGCCTTAGGAACTTTTTTTATTAATTCAAACTACCAATTTGTTTGGAAACTAAAGTATGTAGTGACAAAAAGCAGGTTAAAAAATAAATAGAACTTATTGAGAACATTTTATAATTCAGGAAAAATAAAAGTTGCTCCTCTACTCCTTCCAACCACGTCTGCGCTTTTTAAAAATTTAGCATCATTTTTAAAATCGAAACCATAAATCGGTACCTGCGACCACGTCATCAAGTCCGACCACTGTGGATGTGGTTACCGGCAACTCTGACTGTGTAAAGACTGAATTTATACGGAATCATAATTAAAAAAAAAAAGAAAATTAGAAGTTAATATCTCCATAATTATTAATAATTACTTCTAATTATAGAGATGAAAAAAGAAAAAAAATATATAATTATATAGACAAAAAGAAAAATTACAGTTGATCGGGAAAAACCAGAACTTCAATGTTTTCAGAATTTAGTGCTTCTTTCTACAAATACATTTTAACGCTTGGATTACCTGAAAGTGCACTACAGATCTATAAAGCGTTGACAAATTGTACGGAAAGTTTTTTTATCAAGTAAACAACTTTTATTTACGTAGCCGTGATAAATGTGACATGCATTAATAAATTTATATATCACTTTACGTATGGTACAACCTGTGTAACATTTTTTTATAATTATTTTATCACGCTATTTTTTATATGTACTATTTTTGAAATACGGACTATTTCCAATAAGAAAATGTATGATACTTCAAATTTTGAGACAAATAAGGAAGACTGTGGCAAAGGGATCTCTTTTAATTTTTGTAGAGCTAGCTTGGAACTTTAATTAAAAAAAATAATTATCGCTAATTTATAGACAAACTACAATGTGCCGATCAGAAACTTGCTATTTCTGAAACCACAAAGTAATTAATGTTACATGGAATTGTACAGATTCCAGATATCATCTAACATTAGTTTTTAAAAACACTTTTCTTTTATCAATCATTGTTTTTTATTAACACCTGCAACTTATTACATAAAACTAACGATACGTGATAAAATTAAGTGATGTTTTCACGTATTGATAGATCGTTGGGTTTCATTGATGCAAAATTATTAAAAAATCTAACTCAGATTTTATTTTTACAAATTATTTCTAAAATGAGAAAAATCAAACTGAATTAAATATTTTTATCTTTATCACTTCGTTGAGTAGGGCGATTTAAATAAGAATTAAAACACAATTAGTTATATAGATAACTATAGATAACCAAAAGCTTTTTATGGTTTCAACAAACTACTTATCATATGTATTGTAATTGTAATATTTAAAAAACTATCTACCCTGATTTCCTTCATTATTTCCAACTTCTTCTTTAGTAGGCTTATATTTTAAAAATTTAAAATTTCTCGCACTGTGTTTTACAAAGTTATAAGAAACTTCTCAAACTATGAATGTTACTTTTACCACTTCAAAACATAAAAACTCCTTACTTTCATCCCAAAGAAATAAATTCTGAGCCCCACTACATTATATTCAGTCTCCAATTTTAGATCATAAACAAACATCACAAAAACACTTACCATTTTGATAATATTGTGGCGTCTTTATTATACTGGATCCACGCACTAAAATGTTCATAAGTTACCCTATCCTGACTTATGGAAAATAACGATAGCATAGTCCTTTCCCATAGTATGTTGGGTCTGTTGGGTTTATCCGGTGGTATTGTCCCTTCCACTTGTAATGCATTATAGAACTCACTTCGTGTGATGTGAGTTCCAGAATCATTACAGTATAAAGTGAAAAGGAATCGGATTTTCTCGTCTTGTTTGCCTTTGGTGAGGAGGACTAATCCGCAGATCAAGTCCTTGAGGGCAATACCCCTGGGGGTGCCCCCACAAGCTATATACAGCCATTCGGCTATAGCTTGAGGGACTCCGTCCCCAAGGACGTGCAAGATAAAGCTCTGTTTGCTCAAGAGTTGGTTGCCACCACTCAATCGTTTGAAGGCTTCGCATATTCTCTTGTACTCCTCATCGGACACTGAAGCAATAAAACAATTTAAGTAATTGCTCGGAGGCGGATCGTTAATTGATGAATTTGGGTAAATTAAATCGACGTTCGTGCATTAATTATGATTGTTGCTCGGTTAACAACAATAATATTTACGTAGTTATGTCACATGATGTAACAAAAAGTGACAGGTGAGTTTCATTTGTCATTAATGTTACCTACTTCGTTTAACTGCATCTTCGTACGGTAAACAGGAGCGTTTCGAGTCTTTTGCACCCATTTTCACAATTTCACACAATCCCTAAACATTGTTTTGCGTAATTTCACCAAATCCAACGCAGCACACGACAATCAACACCGTATCACTTTGACATTTGACGATTTGACGACAATTGACAGACGACTAGGAACTTTCGCTCCATCAAGTTACCCTCTCAAAACTTAACTGAAAATCAGATCACAATCACAACACGCACTTCACTTATCTAAAATTTCATCACAAATCATCAAAGACAAAACGTTTCGTCTGCTGTGCTCCTCACGGGTGTTTCCCTTTTTTTTCTAATTTTTCGTTTCGTCACATCAACGTAGTGTTTTTCAGGCCGTCAAGTTTATGACGTTTGACACACCGACTCCGCCCGACCTGACCCGATAACTAATCAATGAAGGTGTGTATGTCTAAACAAAATCTGATTTTGTAGAAAAACAACGGTCCTTGAAGAAATTCAAATTCTTGTAAACAGTTCAGGTTTTTCGTTATTAGAATGTCAATTAGAAATTGATTGAAAACAGGCGGCCATTTTGAATACGTACATCAAAATGTCAACGGGGCCGTCGAAGCTCAAAAAGAAGCACTTTCGGGTGAAACACCAGAAAGTTAAATTGTTTAGGGCCAACGAACCGTTCTTGTCCGTCTTCATGTGGGGCATAAATCATACGGTATGTACTACAAGAGTTTGGGAGAGTGGTCATGGTTTTGTTGCAGATTAACGAACTGATGCATGTCACCATTCCGGTGATGCTGTTTCCAGATGATTTTCGAGCCTACTCGAAGATAAAGATTGATAATCATCTGTTTAATAAGTAGGCAAGTGGTGGAGGTTTTGACATTTGTGTAAATCGTTATTTTGTAGGGAGAATATGTCGTCACATTTTAAGGTTAAGGAATACTGCCCCCTCGTGTTTAGGAATATCAGGGAAAGGTTTGGGGTGGATGATTTGGATTATAAAGAATCTTTAACCAGGTAGGTGGGTACAGGTGTGTTAAAAGTATGCTTGGTGCAAAAATTATTTACATAATGTAGGAAAGTGAATCATCGAACATGCATTTCATGATTCATGGCATCATAAATTTTATGATATTGCCAACAAGATTGGTATAATTGGAAAGCGGTGGATGTTATTTTTTTAAATAATAAAATAATAAATTTAGAAAGTACGGAAATATTGTTTAACTGTGGAAGTTTATTAAGTTACAATTCGCAGTTTTATTTATATTTTATGGTGTATTTTTCGTATTAAAAGGATATTGTTAAGCTCAAAGAAAACAAGATAAAAAACTAGAATCATTTATTGACTTAAAAAAATGTTACACCTACACACAATTTAATGAAGCTATTTACTTCCAAGGTAACTTCCAACGTTACCTCAAGATAAAAGTGTGACAAGGAATAATTACAAAGAAGCCTCAGTTTCTTATCATTTAAAATACTGATATCATTTGTCATTTACATTAAAGCGGTTCATGTAATTTGTACAGCTATATATTTCGTCGTTTAGAGAACAGATGCAGTTATGGGTGAGGATATTAAACGCAATCTAGTCAAAACCATAAAGCAAAGAAAAGTGAAATATTAAAACTATTTTAGAAATTGAAGGAATCCGCATATTTTAGTTTTAATTATATTGAAAAAAAAAACTTCGTTAGTGGTTTATAGGCCGCATTACCATTATCATAAAATTAATTCGCTCCTTCCATGTGACTGCACCGATTATTTCAACATTTTCTTAATAATTCTAATGTACAAACTAGAACGTTATTAAAGTAGAGTTAATGATCGACACTAACAGAGTTTAAGGTTGTAACTCGTTTCAAAAGCGGTATGTTTAACGTCATTCATAAAAATAGCAATAATATTTCGTTATCTGAATATAATTCGTCAAAAATATGCCGCAAATTTAGGTTTCGTTACACAATTACGCAGTTAAATTCACATGTAAATTTTTCATCATATTTATACTTTTTTTTTTTTTTGGTAAAAATGTTTATGTAACAAACATATAATTTTAAGAGCAATAACTGCAACTAAATAATTTTCTGGAAAGAACATGCTGTGAAAATATTTTTCTACCTGAAGAAGATACTTTGTACCAAAACACAAAATAAAATAGTAGAATTGGTTGCATAATTTTGGGCGATTTTTTGTTTTAGCTATTTTTTACGCAAAAAACTGCATCTAACGTTATAGCTCCAAAATGAAGGACTTTATTAATAAATATAGTGTGATAAAAATGCATGGAAAAATATTCTTTCATAATTATTTTTCACTTCATACATAAAACATAGCTGTTTCAATTGTTAACAATACGATTCGTTTAGTTTAAATAAAGGTATGCAACCAATATTACACTAATGACACTTGATGTCCAGTGTAATGTGGAAAAAAACTTTGAGTTTACGACTTTCCAAATAGCTAAAATTGCTTGTTTTTGACCACCAGACGTCGTGGCTCCAATCATAATTCATCACAATTCGTTCATGTGGAACGAGATGCCAGTTTTTACAAAGAGACGGAATACATTTTAATGTGGACAGCAGAACAACTTTTTTATTATTGTTTTGATGATCTGTAGCTTTCAATAATCGCATGATAAATGAATTTGTGGCGAAGTTTCCGAATCTGCTAGATTTGAAACCATACTATTTTGCAGTATACGATATCCTTCAAAGCTGGACATCATCTTCTACACTGATTATTATTAGGAAAATGGGATAAACCGCTTTGATTTACCTTGCATAAACAATTAAAAGAAAATGAAGTTGTTCGAAATTTTAAATTGACGTCATCAAATTTTTGGAAGAGAAGAAGTGATAAATTTCGCGTTTGGCATGTACTATTGCAAGCAAAAGTATTGTCGGTACCCAGCAGCTCCGCCTTCTCTTTGCGGGTTGCCATAATTCCCTACACACTCATGTAGAATAAGATGAAGAACTAAATTTTGAATTTTTCGATTTTTAGTCACTTCCATTTCTCAATTTTTCGATTTTTCGACTTCTCGAACTTTTGATGTTTCGATTTCGCGATTTTTCAGTTTTCCATTTCGATTTCTCAGTTTTTCGATAGTTCATCTTTTCGATTTCCCAATTTTTCAACATTTCAGTTTTGGGATTTATGTATGTATTTAAATTTTTCAATTTTTGGCGTTTCTAAATTTTTGGATTTTTCGATTTCTCAATTTATCGATTTCTCGATTAATGAATTTTTAAATTTTCCGTCTTTCCGATTTCCTGATTTCTTAATTTATAGTTTAAGTTGTAGGATTTTTCAATATATATTTTTTACTTATTCGATTTTTCAATTTTTTGATTGTTGGATTCGTTGATGTTTTGATTTCTCGATTTTGTAAATTTTCAATTTTTCAAATTTTGAAATTTTAGATTGTTCTCGATTAATCGAATTTTGCCTTCTCGTTTTTAGATTTTTCAATTTTTCGGAAATGACTTTTCAGTTTTTCGATATTTCGATTTTTCGTCTTCTCGTTTTCAGATTTTCCGGTTTTTCAATTTTTCGGAATTAATTTTTCAGTTTTTCGATGTTTCGTTTTTTCACCTTTTCGTTTGTCGGTTTTTTTAACTTAAAATTTTTCAATTTTGAATTTTTCCATTTTTCGATTTTTATTTTAGCCGTTTCCATTTCGCAATTTTTCGATTTTTCGACTTCTCGAACTTTTGAGGTTTAGAGTTCGCGATTCTTGAATTTTTCGATTTCTTGACTTTTCAGTTTTATTATAATTCATCTTTTCGATTTTCCAATTTTTCAAACTCTCAATTTTGGTATTTATGTTTTTAAATTTTTCGATTTCTCGATTAATGGATTTTTTAATTTCTCGTCTTTCCGATTTGTCGATTTCTTAATTTTTCGATTTTCAAATTTTCAGTGTGTAAGTTTTGGGATTTTTCAATACATCTGTATTTCACTTTTTAAATTTTTAGTTTTTTCGACTTTTTTTTTTTGATTTTTTACTTATTCGGTTTTTCAAAATTTTGCAATTTTTTAAATCTTACACTTTTCGATTTTTCTATTTTTGGAATTTATACATTTTAGGTTTTTCACGTTTATCTTGTTTCGATTTCCAAGTCTTTCGATGTTCTGCGTTCTCATTTTTAGATTTTTCAATGTTTCCATTTATCGGGTTTTTTTAAGTTTAAAATTTTCAGTTTTTAATTTTCCCATTTTTCGATTTTTATTTTAGCCATTTCCATTTCGCAATTTTTCGATTTTTCGTCTTCTCGATCTTTTGATCTTTTGACTTCGCGATTCTTGAATTTTTCGGTTTCTTGACTCCTCAGTTTTTCGATAATTCATCTTTTCAATTTTCCAATTTTTCAACTTTTCAATATTAGGATTTATGTATTTAAATTTTTCGATTTCTCAATTTCTCGATTAATGGATTTTTTAATTTCTCGTCTTTTCGATTTTTTGTCTTTCCGATTTGTCGATTTCAAATTTTCAGTGTGTAAGTTTTGGGATTTTTCAATCCATATGTATTTCGCTTTTTAAATTTTTAGTTTTTTCGACTTTGTTTTTTTTTTTTGATTTTTTACTTATTCGGTTTTTCAATATTTTGCAATTTTTTAAATCTGACACTTTTCGATTTTTCAATTTTTCGAATTTTTATATTTTAGATTTTTCAATTTTTCCATTTAACGGGTTTTTAAGTTTAAATTTTTCAATTTTTAATTTTCCCATTTTTCGATTTTTATTTTAGCCATTTCCATTTCGCAATTTTTCGATTTTTCGACTTCTCGATCTTTTGATGTTTCGACTACGCGATTCTTGAATTTTTCGATTTCTTGACTTCTCGGTTTTTCGATAATTCACCTTTTCGATTTTCCAATTTTTCAACCTTTCAATTTTGGGATTTATGTATTTAAATTTTTCGATTTCTCAATTTCTCGATTAATGGATTTTTTAATTTCTCGTCTTTTCGATTTGTCGATTTCTTAATTTTTCGATTTTCAAATTTTCAATGTGTAAGATTTGGAATTTTTCAACACATGTATTTGGCTTTTTAAATTTTTAGTATTTTCGACTTTCTCTTTTTTTTTTTTTATTTTTATTTATTCGGTTTTTCAAAATTTTGCAATTTTTTAAATCTTACACTTTTCGATTTTTCTATTTTTCGGATTTTTATATTTTAGATTTTTCACTTTTTTGTTGTTTCGATTTCTTAGTCTTTCAATGTCGTGCGTTCTCATTTTTAGATTTTTCAATTTTTCCATTTATCAGGTTTTTTGAGTTTAATTTTTTCAATTTTTAATTTTCTTATTTTTCGATTTTTATTTTAGCCATTTCCATTTCGCAATTTTTCGATTTGTTGACTCCTCAGTTTTTCGATAATTCACCTTTTCGATTTTCCAATTTTTCAACCTTTCAATTTTGGGATTTATGTATTTAAAATTTTCGATTTCTCAATTTCTCGATTAATGGATTTTTTAATTTCTCGTCTTTTCGATTTTTCGTCTTTCCGATTTCTCGATTTCTTAGTTTTTCGATTTTCAAATTTTCAGTGTGAAAGGTTTGCCATTTTTCAATACATATGTATTTCGATTTTTAAATTTTTAATTTTTTCTACTTTCTGTTTTTTTTTTATTTTAACTTATTCGGTTTTTCAAAATTTTGCAAATTTTTAAATCTTACACTTTTCGATTTTTCTATTTTTCGAATTTTTATATTTTAGATTTTTCACTTGTCTGTTGTTTCGATTTCTTAGTCTTTCGATGTTCTACGTTCTCATTTTAGATTTTTCGATTTATCGGGTTTTTTAAGTTTAAATTTTTCCGTTTTTAATTTTCCCATTTTTAGATTTTTATTTTAGCCATTTCCATTTCGCAATTTTTCGATTTTTCGACTTATCGATCTTTTCATGTTTCGATTTCGCATTTTTTAATTTTTCGATTTCTCAGTTTTTCGATTATTCGGGTTTTCAATTTTTCGACGTTTCAGTTTTGGGATTTGTGTGT